ACCGTTTGCAGAATGGGACTTTTGGCGGGCTCAGCAGGGCAGAGACAGCCTGGACAATTCCTATTGGCTTTTGAAAGCCAATAGAATTAGACTCTATTCAAGAGCGTCTATTCTATTGGCTTTCAAAAGCCAATAGAATAAAAGGGAGGAGCACAGCTAAGGAAAAGGGGGGGAAAATGGCGGACTGCGTTGTTTGGCGACCCCCGAGAAATGGTCGTTCGACCCCAAATGGGGTCCCGACCCACAGGTTGAGAACCACTGCCTTAACAGATCCCGAGGCAGAGGTGTCTGTGGCTTCAGAGGACTGTGGGGAGGAGCAGGCTGAGGCAGGCCAGGGCCCTTCGGGTTTGGAACAGGGGAGACATTCAGGTGAGGAGCAAGGCCCACCGCCACCTGATCCTAGAGCTAGGAGAGTGGAAAGAACAATGCAGGCAAGCTCACTTGCTCGGGAGAAGAGTGTCCCGCCCCACCCCACAAGGCACATCTGGGGATTGAGATATAAGGAGCCGCTGTGGGGTGGGGACTTTGTCGGGAACAAACGTGGGATCTTGGATTATTGAAACACCCTTGAATGGATTCACAAGTTCATGTAAGAAGGTGGAGGAGATCGTGGAAAGAGACACGCCTATTCGTTGCAGTGGGCCTAAAAGCATCAGCTGAACATTTTGCTACCATGCAAGATTTCCAGCCAAGCATAATTAATACCCTTGTTTAATTATGCTCTTGTTTAATTAAACTTACCCAATTAGGTAAGTTTAAGTAACATTCTGATTTCTCCATAAGATTGAAAATGTTTTTCTCGCAATCCTGTACCAAGCAAAAAATATGCATTATGTAGAAGACACACCCATCTCCCTTCAGTTCTTTCTGTGGCAGCAAAAACACCGGCAGATTCACTCTCTGGAGTTTAATGCAAGGGCAGAGAAGGAGCTATACCTGATCCAAGTCATTCAAAGGGTTCCCAATATGAAATTCTAGCAGATTCCCAAGTATGGACAGCCTCCACGTCCAAGAGGAAACCTTTGGGTGATTGGCTCTTTTGGAAACAAAGGAATAAATGAAAAAAAAAAATGTTCAGTCAGCCAAAAGCAGTTATTTTCGTAACAGGAAAGTCTCGTGTTTCTCTGCTGCTGTGATTCTAGCAAATCAGCCAAAGATTAAATCTTTAAAGTTAGGATAAAGCATACCCAAGCGCTCAGAAACCAGATTTCATAAGATGCAGTTTGACAAGTAGAAGTTAGAACAATTAATCAGTGGAACAACCTGTCTCCAGAAGCAGTGAATGTGCCAACACTGGAAGTTTTTAAGAAGAAACTGGACAGCCATTTGTCTGAAATGGTATAGGGTTTCCTTCCTGAGCAGGGGGTTGCACTCGATGACCTCCAAGGTCCCTTCCAACTTTATCATCATCATCATCATCATTATTATTATAGATCAACATCAGGATCCTCATAGAAAAACGAGCACTAAGTACTCACCTCAACTGTCAGAAATCATTTCATCCGTGAATCTGGAGAAGCCAGCTGCACAATTCACCGAACGAAAAATTGGCGTTATTAAAAGAAAAAAATCCAAACAAACAAAGAAAATCCTGACCCCGATCATGACCCCAGTGGGATTGCCCCTCCCCCCCAAAAAACCCCACACACAAGGTGGGGAAACTGGACAAGTGAAGAGGTTTTCTCATCCCATTTGTAGACAAAATTTGCAAGATTTTTTTTTTTGTCTTAGCTTAAAATTTTGCACATTTTGCTTACAAATGGGATGAGAAAGCTTATTCATGGATCCAGCTTCTCCACCTCATGTGGGCTTTTGGGGAGGAAAAGCTAGAAAAAGAAGCTTAGCTAATTCTGGCAGCTTAAGTTATATTTGTGAGGTTTCATAGGAAGGCTTGGTATCTACAATGTCAGGATCCAAAGTTTTACATTATTGTTGTGTTTTCTTAAAAGTAAACCTGCCCCCAAAAGTAAGCCCCGGCTGATTTTTTGGGGGTGGGCCTAATATAAGCCCTCCCCTGAAAGCAAGCCCCACTTAACGGCCTGCCCAGGCGGCCTGCCTGTGATGAGGCGAAGCCAATGGGGGAGGAGGGATCTGACCCATGGTACTGGTATACCGGTTCCTTACCGCCGCCCGGCTTGTTCCAAGGCCTTATGGCACAGGCATTGGGCAGGGGGTGGCAAATGGCTGTTTTTGGCACGAGGCAGGTGTTTGCCCAATGCCAATGCCGCTGCCATGAGGCCTGGCGAATCCTCTCCCCTTCTGAGCTACGTGCCATTATACCGGTTCCCTACTGCTGCCTGGCTTGTTCCGCGGCCTCATGGCAGCAGCATTGGGTGGGAGGCGGCAAACCGCCGGTTTCGGTTTACAACATATGGCCCCCAACTATCTGGGTCCTCATTTGACCGACCTCAGAAGGATGGAAGGCTTAGTCAACCTTGAGCTGGTCAGGATTGAACTCCTGGCAATGGGCAGAATTAGCCTGCAATACTGCATTCTAACCACTGCACATCATGGATGAATGGATGGATAGATGGACGGATGGGCAATAGCAATAGCACTTATATAACGGTTCACAGTGCTTTACAGCCCTGTCTAAGCGGTTTACAGAGTCAGCCTAACAATCTGAGTCCTATCATTTGACCGACCTCGGAAGAATGGAAGGCTTAGTCAACCTTGAGCTAGTCAGGATCGAACTCCTGGCAGTGGGCAGAGTCAGCCTGCAATACTGCATTCCAACCACTGCACCACCATAGAAGGAAGGAAGGAAGGAAGGAAGGAAGGAAGGAAGGAAGGAAGGAAGGAAGGAAGGAAGGAAGGAAGGAAGGAAGGAGGAATAGCAATAGCACTTAGACTTATATACCGCTTCATAGTGCTTCACAGCCCTCTCTAAGCGGTTTACAGAGTCAGCCTGTTGCCCCCAACAATCTGGGTCCTCATTTGACCGATCTTGGAAGGATGGGAGGCTGAGTCAATCTTGAGCCGGTGAGAATCGAACTGCCAAATTGCTGGCAGCCAGCAGTCAGCAGAAGCAGACTGCAGTACTGCACTTTAACCCCTGTGCCAACAGGGCTCTTAACATAGACCCAGCTGGCAACAGAGTCATTTGAATGTGATATGAAAAGACCATACTGTTGTGTCCTGGGCCTGATGAGGCAGCTTAGCAGGCCCAGAAATGTTGCAAATGGTCCTGGGCAACCCAAAAGCTGCCCGGGACCAGACTGGTTGGTGCCGGCCTTACGCACAGGCGCAAGGCGTGAACAAAGGAGATTTATGATAGGCTGCTTGGGAAACTATAAAAGACCTGCGAGCCTGTTGGGTTACTGAATGGTAACGTGGAATGAATAAAGAAGAACTTGGTTACAACGTGATTGTGTGTCGCTTCAATGCCGCGAACCCCAAGACGTAAAACATACTATTAGAACTGACAATATGAACATGGTTTTCCAGCAACCTCCTCTTAATTCTTTGTTTACAGCATAAATAACCTTTCAGTTTTTGCTACTGGGTATACTTCATGCTAATCCATCGAACAGAAAGTAGAAATGTTTAAAGTTTAATTCCACTTCAAGAACTATGCCCAACAGACCTTTTTTTCCAAGAGGGCGGTGCCCTTGTCCTCATTTGTACAAACAACAAGCCAGAAACACACAGGAACAACAATTTTCCTTTTCTAACTTGTGCCATTTGTGAGCATTCACACCCCTCCTCAGGGCAAAGACAACGTGCCAACTCTAACAACTATTCCCTTATGCCCTTTTCTCCTCCTTTTTCTAAAGGATTTGGGGAGTTTTAAGATGATCTAGAAAGATTTCTGATTGTATCCTAGGAAATTCCAAACGTTTCTTGGGAAAGCAGCAGAGCTGACTCTTGGAATTCATAAACTCTCCTAACATTCATCAACTCTCCACGCAATGCAAATAAATTCTGAAAATTTTTTTGGAAGCAGCTCAATGCCCTCAGAGGTTAGGATTGCTACGAATCAAATGTACATCTCTGCCTAGCTGGAATTTCCACATCTGCATAACATTCTCAACATTTCTCCTAAATCGGCTGCAGAATACATTTTCAATTACATGCAGAAACATTTAGCAGGCCCAGCATCGGTCAGCCAGCCTCCCTAAAAAAAATGCAATCAAACTTCTTTCTTTTCAGCAAATGCACTCTGTGGAGTTTAATGTCAGAGCAACTTAAGGAGCCTTATCTGATCCAAGCCCTTCAGAGGGTCCCTTATATTGAACATAAGCAGATTCCCAAGCAGAGGCAGCCTCCATGGCCCAGTGGGAAAGCCTGTGGGACGTCTGCTCTTCCAGAACCAGAAGAATAGGAGGAAAAGAACAAGCAGCCAGCTGAAAAGAGTCATGGTGGAAGCAAGAAAGTCTCCCTCTGTGTGTCTCTGCAGCTGTATTTCTATGCTGGCAAAAAGCCAAAACAGAAGTTTATTCCCTCAATGCTGGGATAAGATTGATAAATTGCACATTAGAAGCTTGAGCAGGCACCATGCCTTTGCTGTTTTTAATGTTTTGAGCTGTTTAGTTCTGTGGTTGCAATATGATTTTGTATGTTTTAACTTTGATTGGGAGACCTCCCAGAGCTGGTTAGACGATGGGCAGCTATATAAATGTTTTAAAATAAATAAACAAAATATAAACTCAGGATGAAAAGTCAGCTTTGTACAGAAGCCAGGTTCCACATGTTGGAATTTAACCATCAAGAAACTTAACACCAACTGGTCACTTGCCGCTAAAAGCAACGTTTTTTTTGCCAACCTTTTCTTCCACCAACTGATAAGCTAACACAGTGATGGTGAGCCTTTTAGAGACCGAGTGCCCAAACTGCAGCCCAAACCCCACTTATTGTCGGGTGCTGGGTGGGCGTGGCCCACTGGGTGGGTGTGGCCATTGGGTGGGCATGGCCATGGTGGGCGTGGCCACCTCGATGTTGCACGTAGGGAAGAGAGGCCTGTGGGGGCCGGGCAGGGTTGGGGGAGATCCAGGGGTCTCTGGCGGATGGGACGATGGGCAGGAGGAGAAGGGTGCTCTGTGAGGGTTGGGTGGGGGCGGCAAGAGAACCTTTTGCACGGAGTCAATCACTGTACACACACCCACACATGTCAGTTGTGTAACGAAACATAATGGTCCCCGCCTTCAGTAAGCACTCAGCGCGCAATAACATGACTAATCACAAGCTGAGCAGTGCCACAAGCCAAGCAGCGCCATCACAACCAGTGCGGACGACGTACCCATGCATCGGACGTGACACACAAGCAGCCTGCATGCTCCATTTTAATAAAAGATGTGTGTCCTCCAAGATAAGAAAGCCTGGAACTGCACCCCAAGATATTTAGACCTGGTCTGTTGGGGTTCCATTAATTTGCTATGTATATTGTCTACTGCATATAGCAAGGCTGGAAATGCACCATCTGCTAACATTGGAGAGACACCTGAATTGCTGAATTCCTGGTCAAAATATATTAAACTTCTAGGACCTGCTGTCCCCTGCTGACTTATTCAGGAACTGCAACTAATGCAAAATAATAATAATAATAATAATAATAATAATAATAATAATAATAATAATAATATAAGCTACATTCAGTTGGGTTCTAGGACAGAGGCAATGCTTAATGTGTGAAAGAGATTGCTCCATCTACCAGAAATGTCGGAACTTGCTCGGTCCAATATGATGCAGTGGCTGGGTTCACACACTGCACTAGAAGTCTTCTGGTGTATTAGCGTAATGTAGAGGGGTGCTAACAGTGAGGACAATTAACCAGTGGAACAGCTTGTCTTCAGAAATTGTGGGCACTCCGTCACTGGAAGTTTTTAAGAAGAGACTAGACAGTCACCTGTCTGAAATGGTATAGGTTCTCCTGCTCGAGCAGGGCGCTGGACTAGATGACCTCCAAGATCCCTTCCAGCTCTATTCTGTTCTATTCTATTCTAATTGTGGAGGTTCAGAAACCCTGATTTGACCTCCTTTGATTTCTAAAAATTGGTATCAATAGTCATTTTTAAGCACCACGAACTTAAAAAGTCAGATCAAAAACTAACTGCTGTATGCATATAATAGGCTAACTTTGGTGAATTTCAATTTTTATTATTTCTTGGGTGGCTTACCAGGTGGGTTGAGCCCAGTTCATTCAATTAGTTTATGATTCAGTGTAGTACAAGAATCCAGGAAGTGGGTTAATGCAGAATTCAAGATGAATGTGCAGTGCTTGTGAACAGATATCAATGGGGTCTGAAATTCTTCACTAATATATTTAGTTTCCAGCTACTGTATGTTCAATTTCAATTAAGTGTCAATGCAAATGAAATTCACTCAAATGTAGCCATTGTCCTAGGTTGCTTGGGGACACTAGCAAATATACCATTCAGAATTGATGACATGGCACATTGTGTGAGCCCCCACCAATTGCGGCTTATTTTTCCAACCATGATTAAACAAATTATGATTCAGCACAAGGAACAAACCCAATATTACAACATTAACAGTTCTGAAGAAGAGGATTCTTACAATCCAACAAAATTTGTTTTCCAGTCTTTTATTCTTGGCCTTCATCCCTGCAATGGAGCCTCTTGATAGCTCATCAGCAAAACAGGATCAGTTCAGAATTTCCTTCTTCCGGCTGACAATAAAAAGGTCCTACTGACAGTAAAAAGTCAAGACATTTTCCTGGTTGCCTCTGATCAGGATCACGGGAGACCTCAGATCTTGCGAGAGAGTCTCCAGCCAAGCCATGTACAGGCTACTGGGACATCCCTTCCGGCCAACTGGCATAGTTCTGAAAAGGTGACAAGGAACAGGAGAAAAAGAAAACAAGTTTGTATTTGTCTACAACAACCTTGGCTGTTCTTTGGAAGGACAGATCCAGAAGCTGAAGCTTAAATGCTTTGGCCACCAAATGAGAAGAGAGAAGTCCTTGGAAAAGTCTCTGATGTTGGGAAAGATGGAAGGCAAAAGGAGAAGGGGCGGCAGAGGAGGAGATGGTTAGATAGTGTCACAGACACAATGAACGTGACTTTGGGTATTTAGAAACTATGTATATTGGTGCAGTCTTCCCTTGGTATTTTAGCAGCCATTTATTTTATTTATTTATTTATGAGACTTATATACCGCTTTAAGTGCAAGCACTCTCTAAGCGGTGTACACCAGTAAGCAATGTATATATATATTTACATTGCCCCCAACAATCTGGGTCCTCGTTTTACCTACCTCGGTAAAGATGGAAGGCTGAGTCAACCTTGAGCCAGTGAGATTTGAACCGCTGACCTGCTGAACACAGTCAGCTAAAGTGGCCTGCAGTACTGCACTCTAACTGCTACGCCATCTCTCTCTACTCACTCATCTTCAGCTTGTAATTAACTATAATTCTCAGATCCTACTCACATGTATTGCTTTTAGGCCTGATCTCCACATTGCATAGGTTTCTTCAAATTTCGTTTTCCCCAATGAAGGATTTTGCATATCCGGGCATTAATTGTCATTGCGTTTGCTTTCTGTGGCCACTTCTCTAATCTCTTATGATTCTTTTGAATGTTTATTCCATTTTCTTTGGAATTAATTATTCCAAGCAGTGCTGCTGTGACATCTGCAGAGCTTAAAAAATGGGATGTATGGGGCAGGGCAAGAGAGAGCCATAACGCCAGAGACTAAAGAAGAGAAAGCTAAGCCAACACATGTCAATGAAGGTCCTCAGTCATCCAGGTAGACTCATCTGGAAGTTGAATCATGGTGACTGGATTTATTGTTTGTAGGTTTGCGATGTTTCACTGCCCATCCAAGCAGCTTCTTCAGTCTGAACAAGTTGGTTGGAGGAATAGGCAAAGAGTCATTGGAATTTGCCAATTCCTAAAAATCTTAGGGGTATTTCTGCACCATAGAACACAGAACATGGAATAATAGAGTTGGAAAGGACCTTGGAGGTGTTCTAGTCCAACCCCCTGCTCAAGGCAGGAGACCCTATACCATTTTAGATAAATGATTGTCCAATCTCTTTTTGAAAGCCTCCAGTGATGGAGCACCCACAACGTCTGGAGGCAAGTCGTTCCATTGGTTGATTGCTCTCACCATTAGGAAATTTCTCCTTAGTTCTAGGTTGTTTCTCTCCTTGGTTAGTTTCCATCCATTGTTTCTCATCTTGCCTTTTGGTGCTTTGGAAAATAGTTTGGCCCCCTCATCTGTGTAGAAGCCCCTCAAATATTGGAACACTGCTATCGTGTCACCCCTACTCCTTCTTTTCATTAGACTAGACTATTATGACTCATAGACTTCAATTCCCAGAATTCCTGAGCCAGCCATGCTGAGGGGAAAGAGAGAGGTTTCCAAGCTGAGCCATGCTGGCTCAGGAATTCTGGGAGTTGAAGTCCACGAGTCATAAAAGAGCCAAGGTTGCCTACTCCTGGACTAGACATACCCAACTCCTGTCATCGTTCTTCGTATGTTTTAGATTCCAGTTTCCAAATCATCTTTGTTACTCTTCCCTGCACCCTTTCCAGAGTCTCAGGGTTTCTTCTCCAAAGTGCACGGCAATATGTCAGTGAAGATTCTCAGTCATCCTGGTAGAATTGTCTGGAAATTGAGTCATGGCGAATGGAATGGTTAACTTGTTCAGACTGAAGAAGCTGCTTGAATGGGCAGCGAAATATCTCAAACTCACTCTCACACACACACACACACACACACACACACACACACACACCCCAGTTGCATGACTCAACTTCCAGACTAAGCCAGCACACTCTTCCAACAGCTTTTTCTACAAAGATACCACCCCTAGCAACTCCTAATGATTGTTTATGACTGCTCTTACTTACATGAAAATAAGGGCAGCATCCCGAGAGTAATCCAGCAAAATTTCATTCATTCTCACTTGTCGAAGTGACTAAAATAGAAAGTAGAAAAAGTTCAGCACAAGTAGATATAAAGGGTCAGAGGCAAGCAATGAGAACAGCTCTGACAATGGATCAAGTAAATTTCTTTATTGTTGACTACCAGTTTAGAAGAATCTTTGTCAGATTGTCTTTCTTCTCTTGGGAAACAGCAGATATAGACTTAACGGTTTCATCTCAAAGTTTCCTCCTTTGAATGGACTCTAAGTTGGAATATCTTTCAAGCCACCTTATTGGGACATTATCTCCTTCAGTTGGTGGTTCCACCAGATAAATAAATATAAAGAAACCCAAAGGGTTTTTTTGGGAAACCCAGATAACAAGCCACTCCCTGCTATAGCCCCCAGCAAATGGCCCTGGAAAAAGTATGCTGCTAATGAGATGGGAGGTTCTCTATAAAATCTAAGAAGAACATGGCAAGATCAGACCAAAATTCAAATCTTGCATTCTGTGCACAGAGCAGCCAATTAGGTGCCTCCATAAAAATCACAAGAAGATTGAAACACAGCGGTTCCATCTTGAATTCCAACAATGCCAGGCCTGATTGACCAGGATCACAAGGACAAAGGCTTGTAGTATGCCCGGGCAGAGGTTCAGAGCCCACAGTGGTCCCAAGAGTTTGGGTCCATATGAATTAAGTCGCAGGGTTTGTATTCTGACCTCATGATGCCCATGCCCATCCCTTTTCCCAACCCCTCTGCTTCCACCAATAACCAGGAATACATTGGTGACTCTGATCCATTTCAAAAATCAAAGTCAATTCATAGTTTCAGCTTGATGCATCAAATCCAGCCCCTTTGATTCTTCAGTCTGATCCCAACAGACTTGAGAAAAGGGGGTCAATTTCAATCATTTGATCTGGATTTTCAGTTCCGTTTGGAAAGCTGATTCAGTTCAAATCTGGGGTAGAATGGCTGTTGAATTTCCAGAGCAACACTGGAATAGCACTCTTATTCTTCCCATAAGGGAGTAGGCTTGAAAACAACTTCAAGCAGAATGTAAAAGGAACTCTAAATTTCCCCGAGAAGTTAGCCAGGTTGACCCAAGGTGTCAGATTCAAAGACCTGGAGTTATAAACAGATGAAAGAGGGATGCCCTCCGTCTCCCTGCTTCCCCCTCTTCTTCTCCTGATGTCTGAAATCCACCCCAGGCTAGGTCATCCTAACCTTAGCTTTGTTTTTTGCAACCTCTTCATCGGAAATTTTCCATGGGCAGCCACGTCGCAGCTCGTTCACCACAGCGTCATCTTTGAAATCATCGTTCAGTCTGAACGGAGCAATTAAGTCATCAAATCTCTTCACGCTAGGAATAAAACCACCATGAATTTCCGTTAAGGAACCAAATTCTTCCGTGCCCTGGTCTTAGCCGAAAGGGGACACCTGCTTAGAGAAAGGAGCCTGGCCAATTTTAAGAACTAACCCTTAGCTACTGTATTGTGAGGCGTGAAAGACCAGATCCACACACGAAGCTTCAATGAAACGGATTCACTGCTAAAAGCCCACGCACAGGAATCTTCTCAAATAAAGGTCAATGTACCTGCTTAGATTTAGATAAGGGTTAATGGCACTCAAAGGGTGTTTCTCTTGTAGCTACGTAGGGATTCTAGGCTGATCCTCCTTTTTTCTCTACCCCCAAGTTCTGCCATCCTTTCTCCTACAGTCATACAGAAACACCAAAAACTATCAGGGGTTTGGTTTCTTCACTGGTTAATTTTCTGAATCTTTGCAACCAAGTCTAATAGCCCTAAGGCGGACCCTCTGGATAGCAAATGCTGGGGAGCACACCCTTTTCACAAATGGCCCCATAGATGTTAGCCTCACTTTGATTCACCCGCTGAAGAACCATGGGAAAGTTGGGAAGAATAAGAATTTTTTGCTGGTCTTTGGACTAATATGAGACGTGGACTAATATGAGAATGATTGAGGGGCTCCAGTGTTGACAATATTTTTTCATACTTCAGATCAAATTTATCTCCTCCTCCTCTATCTCCTACAATAGTACAGGTAGTCCTCTACTTACAGCCATACATTTAGCGATCATTCAAAATTTACAGCTACACTGAGAAAAGTGACTTACAACTGCTCCTCACACTTACAACAATCATAGCATGATCAGAATTCAGGCATTTGGCAACTGGCATTTTCTGACAGGACAATTAACCAGTGGAACCACCTGCCTCCAGAAGCTGTGATTGCTCCAACACTGGAAGTCTTTAAGAAGAGACTGGACAGCCATTTGTCTGAAATGATATAGGGTTTCCTGCCTGCGCAGGGGGTTGGACTAGATGACCTCCAAGGTCCCTTCCAACTGTATTATTATTATTATTATTATTATTATTATTATTATTATTATTATTATTATCATCATCATCAGTAGTAGTAGTAGTAGTAGTAGTAGATTTTACAACAGTTGCAGCATGCTGGGTTCATGTGAACCCCAACTGCAACCAATTTGCTTCAGACAAGCAAAATGTTAAAAGCTGGATTCATTTAATGACCAGATGATTCACTTAACAACTGTGTAATTTATATAAATGCATTTTTAGCCAGTATAATAAATGTTATATTTGGATGCTGTGGTATTGGTCAATAAATTAATGCATCATTAATCATTTTAATTGCAATAATAATAAGAGTGTAATATTGCTTTACTGTTCAGGTTGGGGCTTCTGATTAAGATCTGGAAGGACGTGAACCTCATTAAATCCAAGCCGAAACTTGCTTAATAAAGAGACAATCCTAAGAAAGAAAAAGAAGATTAAGAAGTGGAAAAAAGGAATTCCAATAGTCTTTGTCATATATTTTACTGTTTTGACGCTCCATTTCTCTATATAAATGGTGTATTATTATTATCATTATCATTATTATTATTATTATTATTGTTGTTGTTGTTGTTATTATTTTGGAACACAGCAGCCCTGAATCCTGCAGGTGGAACTTACGCCTTCCGCTCCTCGTCCATTCGGTTGATCTGCCCACTGACAAACACTCGGATCTTGCATGTCCCCCACCTCTTTTTGCGACCAAGGAGATAAGGGATGAGAAGAGTCAGCCCTGGGGGTGGAAAAACCACAGAGGAATCTGAAGAACCCACACCTCCTTCTTCTCACAATTGCATTTATAGCCTAGTCAGAACATAGGACACGGGATAAAAGCTGTGGTGGCGCAGAGGTTAGAACGCAGAACTGCAGGCTACGTCTGCTGATTGCCGGCTGCCAGCAGTTTGGCAGTTCGAGTCTCACCAGCTCCAGGTTGACTCAGCTTTCCATCCTTCCGAGGCTGGTAAAATGAGGAACCAGATTGTTGGGGGGGGGGGCAATAGGCTGACTCTATAAACCACTCAGAAAGGGCTGTAAAGTACTGTGGAGCGGTATATAAGTCTAAGTGCTATTGCTATTGCTAATGTAGATGGAAGGGACGTCAGAGGTCTTCTAGTCCAACCATTCCTTCCAAAAATTCAAGCCAACATAAGATGATGAGTTCTTGGAACCTCACATTAGCTTCAGTAAGGGGGCTGAATGATGGTTCTGAGACCACTTCCTGGAATAAAACAATGCCACTGCTAGCATTTTGGGAAGAGGAAATCAGAATTTAGGCTGTTGAAAATCAGTCGCCCGGATGATCCAAAACACTGGCTGGGTCCTTCTACTAAATTCCAACTTTTTGGAATCCCTGCTAAGACCTCCAGAGCTGAGAGAGACTCCATTTAGCAGCACCAAGCCTTGCTCCCTTCTCGAGCCCTGCGCGGGAAGGAGGAGCCAGCCTTACCTCCATCGTCAAACAGCCAGTAGATGTCAATAGTTTTCTTGCCTTGATCCATCTGGAAAATGGTACTCGCCTGTTGTTCTGCCACCAAGGCATCAGGATCCACTAGGAAGGGGGAAAGAAGGGGAAGGGGAAGGGGGAAGGGAATTAGGAGAGGAGGGGAGGAAGGGAGGGGGGAGGAGAGGAGAGGAGTAAGGACCTGCCTCAGCTATTCCCCCAGGAAAGCACAACTCAGGAAACAAGCTGTTTCAAAGAGGATTTTTTACTGAGAGGAAGTGATTGCAGAGTCAGAAGGCAGAATCTAAAGCTCCCACCTAAAAGCACCGAGCTAAAAGTCCCGTTTTGTCAGCCCCACCCCAGTGCCCTAGTCCATCAGGACCCAACCACCAGCGCGAAGATGTTATGAGAACTTTGAATCAAAAAGGTGATAAGCGACCGTTTTCCCAGGCATCGGTCAGCAGGAGTGAGCACAGATGGCCCTGGGGGCATTTCCCTTGTTCTAATTTCCCCCTTCCTAATTCCTGTGTGAATATATCAAAGCGAAAGCAGAAACCCAGAAAATGGATTTGATCAGTAACCCGGTCAAGAAGCTTCTTAGAACTGACATGTGTCCATTACGGCAGGTACTTCACTGTTCTTCTGAGGAATATCTGCTGGATCAAAAACTGGATTAACTGGGGACAGAAAGGAGACAATAAGCAAGATAAATCCGTGACATTCTGAACAATGAACAGTTGTCTGCATTTACGAGGTACATCAAGTCATAATGAGGGTTACTTTATCTAGGCATAAGGTACTGAGTGAATCTAGCCATTGTATTTATGTAAATTTGTGGCTCGGTGGGATGTGTAAACCCAGTCTACTGCAATTTTATCACTAAGTTAAACTAAGTGTCGTTTAGTTTACTGCAGTGTGGTGGAATGGAGTCTGGATTTCCAGGAGGGAGTGGCTATATTCCAGAGAGCAAAGAGGCAGCGGAGCTTGGAATGTCTGGTAGACAGGAAGAGGTTAAAACAGCTCCTCCCTATCCAGTCCAAAGTCTCCTCGGTGACATAGGCAACATAGACATTTAATAGACTGAGAGGAAGGCAGGCAGGCAGGCAGGCAGGCAGACATATAAAAATATCTATAGTGATGCAAGTAATTACTTCAATCTGGCAAGATTTTGTCTGTAGGTGACGAACAATAAAGGAAATCACTCTTAAGTAATTCTAAGTGTTGTTCCTAGGGCTCAACATGCAGTGTGCTAATCCAGCTACAAGCACCACTACACAGAGTTGACGAATGCATTTAGCAAACCTCAGCTTGTTTATCTGTGGTTTCCAAACAATCGCAGTGGCAGATTTACACAAAACATACGAACCACATGATGGCTTAATGTCAGGTTTCCCCCAAGGGCCGGGTGGTCAAGAACGCTTCCTTTCGTGCCCAGCAGGATTTCTGCCCCATACGACTTTTTACATTCAAAAGTAAAAAAGTAAAAACTGGCTATAAAGCAAAGCATCGTCTTCCTGCATTATCTTTATTTTCCAAATAGGACATTTACAAAAAAAGTCAGGATGGAGTCTGGGGCTTTGCAATTGACATTCTGCCTTAAAAAAAAACCAACCAACCAAACAAACAAACAAACAAACATGTGCGACACCGTTGCCTTTGCTCAAATTAGTATGCAAGGTACTCCGCTGGTTTGAAAAGAGAGTCATTTGACACAAGTCCTTTGAAAGCAATTTCTCTTATTAAAGCAGGATAAAAATGAAAACAAATAGAGTCGTAAAAGGGCCTCTTTCTAAGATATTTCCCTCCCCCTGCAACTGAATCAGCTCAAGCCTGTTTCCCTGCACAATCCCTGAAGAAGTGTGCTAGTGAAACTCACTGTGAGCCTGCATGATCCGAGAAATATTGAGTCCCTCCTTCACACGCATTACGCACACTCCGTATTTGAAGTCAAAAGCATTGCTGGAATGGGAACAAAAATGCATGCTCAATGTCAGCACGAGGGAGACTTTCAGAGGTTTACCCACCTAGGACAGCATGGAATGAGTGAGTATGTCTGTCCCTACATCTTTTCCTCTAAGGAAGGCACTCTTAAGCGCATCCTACTCCTTTTTTACTACAAGGGTGTGATTTTTTTTTTTTAAATACAGGTAGACCTCAACTTACAACAGTTCATTCAGTGACCGTTCAAAGTTACAACGGCACTGAAAAATGCGACTTATGACTGTACTGTGTTTCACACGTACAACTATTGCGGTGTCCCCATGGTCACTTGATCAAAATTCAGACGCTTGGCCACTGATTCATATTTACGACGGGTGCAGTGACCCCAGGGAGATGAGATTGACTTTGCTTGTCGGAAAGTTACAAAAGGTGATCCTATGACCCAGGGACACTGCAACCGTCATAAATATGAGTCGGTTTGCCAAGTGTCTGAATTTTGATCACGTGACCATGGTCATAAAAGTCACTTTTTTGGGAGTGCTGTAGTAACTTTGAATTTGTCACTAAGTTGTAAGTAGAGGACCACCTGCATTACTTCACCAAGTCATCAAGATAGGGAGAATGCAACTGAAGATAGCTGCAACTGATTAATAACATTTTCCTGAAGACCACTTTGCATTTCAAGATCTCTGAAGAAGACTGGATATGGGAACTATAGCTTAAAACAGAAGTCCCCAGCCTTTTGGGCACCAGGGACCGGTTCCGTGGAGAGAGGTTTTTCCGTGGACTGGAGGGTGCGTGGTTTTGTGTGCTGCCTGCATCCTGCGGATGGGATGCTTCGCTTGTAGGCAATGCCTAGTGCCGGACCACGGACCGGGGGTTGGGGACCCCTGGCTTAAAAGACAACAAGCCAGTGGTACTCACTGCAGGATTCCGATATATTCTTCCACTGTCTGGGGATGTGCTGCCTGCCAGTTCTTCTTATATCCAAGCACAAGAATGTTGGGTTTCATTCTGCCAAGACCTGAAGCCTTTGTCAAAGAAATAAGTGGATTTTTAGGGTAAAAATATTTTCCGCACTCATTGTTACCAACCCTTTCTGCTCACTTTACTCTCTATTCATAGGCTAGGAGAAAATTACGGTTTTCATTGGACCTCAATTGAAAAGGAGGAGGAGGAGGAGGAGGAAAACTGTGGGGTCCTTGGTGTTCTCTGAGTTTGCTTGTTTTCTTGCAGACGTTTCATTACCCTAACTAGGTAACATCATTAGTGCTAGTAAGGAGTGGGGTATGCAGAGAGAAGGAGGAGGAGGAGGAGGAGGAGGAGGAGGAGGAGGAGGAGGAGGAGGAGGAGGAGGAGGAGAACTATGGGGTCCTTGGTGATGTCTGCAAGAAAACAAGCAAGCTCAGAGAGCACCAAGGACCCCATAGTTCTCCTCCTTCTCCTCCTCCTCCTGGCAAACCCCACTCCTTACTAGCACTGATGATGTTACTAGGTAGGGTAATGAAATGTCTGCAAGAAAACGAGCAAGCTCAGAGAGCACCAAGGACCCCTCATTTCAACGCTGAGCTGCAAATATTCTCTTTCATTGGTATAATAACTTTAAACGAAGAACAAATAATAATAAGGTAGCTTAGCCGGTAGTGCAAAGCACGCAAGGAAGACCCAAGAATTAGTATAGATCAGGGGTGTCAAACTGACGGCCCACAGGCCGGATGCATCATGCCGAAACTGCGCCCACAATGTTTTTATCAAAAGCACATAAGAGTTTCCTCACGCAAAGAATCATTGCAGATCAGGGGGCCCTGGGTGTGATCAGCATCTCAAGACCCCAAGCTTGATTTTACCTGCATAAGGACTTGTGCTCCAGTTCTCAGGTCCTCTGCTGAGATGCCTGTGTAGAAAGCCTTGATTTTTCTCTTGATCAGCCACTTGATATGGCCTTTGGAAGCAAGTCCCACTTCAGCATTTGCCGGTCTGCAGGGCCCCTATCAGAAAGAAGCACAGGAAGGAGTCACAACTACAGGAAGGCTGGAAGAAATGTGGAATTCTCAGTGATCTCTCAGCTTGGTGGTTTTCTTGCAGACATTTCATTACCCAGCTAGGTAATATCATCAGTGCTACTATTGGTGGGGTTTTCAGAAAGGAGGAGGAGGAGGAGGAGGAGGAGGAGGAGGAGGAGGAGGAGGAGGAGGAGGAGGAGGAGAAGAAGAAGAAGAAGAAGAAGAAGAAGAAGAAGAAGAAGAAGAAGAAGAAGAAGAAGAAGAAGAAGAAGAAGAAGAAGAAGGAAGAAGAAGAAGAAGAAGAAGAAGAAGAAGAAGAAGAAGAAGAAGAAGAAGAAGAAGAAGAAGAAGAAGAAGAAGAAGAAGAAGAAGAAGAAGAAGAAGAAGAAGAAGAAAATAATAAAAGGACTGTGAGTCCTTGGTGCTCTACAAGCTTGGTGGTTTTCTTGCAGACATTTCATTACCCAGCTAGGTAACATCATCAGTGCTCTATATATTATTTTCTATTGAAATGTGATTTATACAGGACCCCCTGCAATTGCAGGGTCAAAAAGCCAAGATAGTGACTGCAAACACACAACTGACCCCTATTATTTATGTATATAGGTAGAGTTCGACTATTAATTTCATGGTTTCAAAACCCAGTTTAGTTGTCAGAAAACAGCCAAGGCTTGTTAGGGGCTACTACTAAGCTCAGCATTTAATGTAAAGCTGATGTGGTTTGAATTTGGTTTAGTGTTTTGCTTCAACCCAGTAATTCTAGTCTGTAAACCGCCAATTCAATCAGTAAGTTGTGACATAGGCAATAACTAATTAAACAAACCATGGCTTGATACAATCTACGAACCCTGAGCACTGAGGCCAAGAGCAAGAATCCATGTCTCATGGGCTTTGTTCATACAACATGCTTAAAAAGATAGTACAGCATGCTAAGCTTGTTTAATAGTTACCCATGATAGGTTTAGTGGTGGCTTAGTAGGTGTCTGCTTTTTTATTGCACAAGAAAGAGGGCCATATAATTCTGAAATTAAGCAAATTGGAGAAATATATTTTTCTTCTACAAAAAGGCAGCTTTTAATTTCTATCGCCCTAGAAAAGGAAGAGTTCCACGCTTAGATTATTTTTCCTGTGAAACTAAGATTTATAAGCCCCTCTTAGCTACTTGATTTTTTTTTTAAAAAAAGCCCTTTGTTGGCCTAATTATGTAAAGGAATCGAACGTTTACCTACTGAAATTGTCCTTTCCAAGAAGGAAAGAAAAGAGAGATTGATTAATGGTGGAACATCTCCAGAGCAGAATGTCCTATCAAAATTGTGTTTTCTCTTCTTCTATTTTTATCCTGGCAATTAAACGGCAGGTGAAATCCAATCTAGCAGTCATTCATTCATTTATTCTTGCTTAATTAGCTGGGGATTGTTCCAGAAGAACAAATGTTGAAAGCCAAGTGCCAGGCGTTATCCACACTTCACAGCAATCCCTGTGTGTTCCTCTTAACCTCTGCAGTAAACCTGGAAGCCAAAGGGAAGCACTTAGGGCTATATATTTGATGATATGGTAGAAGGACAGCTGTGTTAATCTATTGTTGCGCCAGATCTGAAGTTCTCATAGCACTTTCCCAGACAAACTTGGTTAAAAGGCAGACATTTTCACAGCCGGGCTCCTCTCGATTTTTGACATCTGAAGGTATAAATGCTGGAGGGGATGATTTAGTGTTGGCTAGCAAGCTGCCGTTTGGATAGCAAAAGATCTCACTTGGAGGTAAGCCACCGAAGCTGCTGACTCCTGCCAGCCTTTAGAAGCTGTTTTTTTGTTATTTAAAACCTGCTGGGCTGAAGGCTGCAGTTCCATTTCAGGTCCTTAGCAGAGGGAGCGTTGTGTCCCAGCTAAGGCTGAGGTTTCCTTTCCTCGTGAGTCAACATAGAGTTGGAGGAAAGCAAGGGCCATAACCCTTCCATCATGGGAGTCACTAGTTTGAGGCTTTGGCGGTGTTGGGGTCCCTCTAGTCTGGACTTCTCCAGATGAATTGGGAATCCAGCTAAAAAAAGGAGATGCTGTAGTGCTCTGTTTCTCTTACGATCTAGTGCAATCATCTTTAAGAATGGAGATCATTAAAATAGATGGACAGATGGACAGACAGACCTGCTGATTAACTGTCAGATTGGGTAATGAAACATATGCAAGAAAGCACCAAGGACTCCTCATTTTAATTCTGAGCTACAAATAATCTCCTTTATGAGAGAGAGAGAAAGAGAGAGAGAGAGAGAGAGAGAGAGAGAGAGAGAGAGAGAGAGAGAGAGAGAGAGAGAGAGAGAGAGAGAGAGAGAAGCAGACAGACAGACAGACAGACATAGGTGGGTAGACAATGGAAATTAGGTAGTTAAAGATAGCAGATGGCTGCAAATTCTTAGTTACATGGTAGGAACAAATACTCACGATCAACACATTCCCGCAGATCATCAAACTCAATTTTTTTGTAAAAGTGCCTACAAAATCGACTAGTGCTGGGCGGAAATTAGGAGGACCAGTCAGGACGAGGCATTGAGGCCTGAAGATAGAACAAGGAGACATCACTACTTCACTATTTGCCTGGAACCAGCCCACTCCTAAGACTTCTGTTGGATTCCAGAAAGGGCAAAAGAAGGACAATCACAACAAGCGGCTATCAAAGGTGCACAAATGCCCAGGTTTTCATGGCTAAAGCGCAGGGCAGAGATCCATCAAACCCCCCTTTGCTCTTCCTTTGTCCTCCTTTGCGTAGTTGCATCCGAACTTATCTGTTACGATGGATTGAACCATAGGCAAATCATACACACAAAATGGACGGGGGGAAATGGCGTTTGGAATTTCTGCCAAGCACGAAGATTCTTGGAGGAGAAATCTGATTTTGGTAAACTTTTGCTGATCAGGGGAGATACACCTACATGGCACCTGGACATTGCTCGGATAGAGTGTCCAACTGAAACCCAGTGGCTTACAAAATCTTACCTGTAATTTTTAATATGGTCATCCACCTCATTGAGACTCACAGAATAATTTAGGGCCATGTTGTAGGAACCAGCTTGAACAGAGGACCCCCAGTTTACTCCTGGAAAAAAAGTTACCTCAGTTCAATTCATTGTTTTATTGAGCAGTATTTTAATTTGTAAAAAAAAGAAATATGAGCTACGTACCAGGCTTCTTGTAGAGAACGTATCCGAGCAAGAACACCACAATCCCAATAGCAATGAGAGCAGCCCACCAAGTTAGCAGGAACATGATAACGACAGAAAAAATGGCCCCAAACAGGGCTGCCCACTTGCTATAATACCTGAAGGAGGGTCTCCAACCTGAAAGGGGAAAAAAATAACTAGATATGAGACCATTCATAATGCACTTTTGAACAACTCTTCAAATACTGTAAATAGCAATAGCACTTAGACCAGTGGTTCTCAACCTTTCTAATGCCGTGACCCCATAATACAGTTCCCCATGTTGTGGTGACCCCCAACCACTTATACATCACCGGGTGCCAGGGGCATGGCCAAAGAAAAGGGGGAAAAATGGCAGACAGCCTTGTTTGGCGACCCCCGTGAAATGGTCGTTCGACCCCAAATGGGGTCCCGACCCACAGGTTGAGAACCACTGACTTAGACTTATATACCACTTCATAGTGCTTTAAACCCCTCTTTAAGCGGTTTACAGAGTCAGCATATCATCCCCAACAATCGGGGTCCTCATTTTACCAACCTCAGAAGGATGGAAGGCTGAGTCAACTTTGAGCCGGTCAACATCAAACCCCTGGCAGTCAGCAGAATTAGCCTGCAATATTGCATTCTAACCATTGCATAGGATGGATGGATGGATGGATGGATGGGAAGGAAGGAAGGAAGGAAGGAAGGAAGGAAGGAAGGAAGGAAGGAAGGAAGGAAGGAAGGAAGGGCAATAGCAATAGCACTTAGATTTACATACCGCTTTTCAGCCCTCTCTAAGCAGTTTACAGAATCAGCATAATTGCCCCCAACAATCTGGGTCTTCATTTTACCTACCATGGAAGGATGGAAGACTGAGTCAACTTTGATCCAGTCAGGATTGAACTCCAGGCAGTGGGAAGAATTAGCCTGCAATACTGCATTCTAACCACTGTGCAGGATGGATGGATGGATGGATGGATGGACAGACAATAGCAACAGCACGTAGACTTACATACCACTTTATAGCCCTCTCTAAGCAGTTTACAGAGTCAGCCTATGGCTCTCAACAATCTGGGTCCTCATTTTACCGACCTCAGAAGGATGGAAGGCTGAGTCAACCTTGAGCCAGTCAGGATCCAACTCCAGGCAGTGGGCAAAGTCAACCTGCAATACTGCAATCTAACCACTGCGCCATCGCAACTCAATACAAACTCCTGTTGCAGGGGGATGATTGGTCAGCATGTGTCATGGTATGAGGGAAGGACTTCAGATGGTGGGGAAAGAATGATCAGATAAGAGAGGGCAGAGACCTCAGCATCACAACAGGCAGAGAGAAAAAAACTCAGGAAGGATCATCCCTGACTTTATGTTTCATGGAAGGAAACTTCTGAAATTCTCAAACCCAATTTGAGTGAGTTATCTTTGCTGCTAAGCCATGTGACAAAAGCCCTTACCTGGTGAGTTGGTAATGGAGGCATGGAAACAGCTGAAATTGATGAGCGCATAGGAGCACAGAAAGAAGTTGGAGATGATGGGAGCGATGGCATTCAGTTCCGCTACAGAGATGGTGGAAAGACTGTACATAAAGATCTAATCAACTAATGTGTCAATACTAAATTGGTGATATATAAGAATTAATGGAATTCAAGAGGGGCTGGACTTGGAGCATGTGTAGACACATAACGATTCTAGACTGAGTCCTCCCTTGACTCTGCCTACAGGCTCTGCCTGCTCTTTTCCTATATCAATGTTCTCGAACCGAATCAATAAACAACCATCTATAAGCTTCTGCATTATTAGTGAAATGATGCAATTCATGGGTTCAGTTTTAGAACAAAATAAAGAACTCTTTGCCCACTGTATTTTCAGATACGTTAGCTTTAGTGAAGCTATAATTCTTGGAACTCCATCCTTTTTTTCCCCCCTCAATAAATCTTGCTAAAGAGTACTATGAGAACTGTGCTTGAGGATGAAACATTTTATTTCAGGCAACTGTCAAAGGAACCAATATCTCTTCTTTGATTAGCAAAATCCCCCCAGAGCAAGACCAGATTCTTTGTATGAAGAAAATCTTTGCAAATTTTACCAATCAGAATGAAGCCCACTGCGATGAGGTACGTCAGCATGTAACCCCTGATGGGTTCGTTATTTCTTCCATAGCCCTTTCCAAAAAAGCCAATGGCCGGGTAGAGTTCATCCTTACAAAGACACTGTCGAGAGAACAGAGCAACAGTTCACGCCAACTTCTCAAGTGCACATGGATTCCCACAACAATTAAGACTTTTTTTGGAAGCCCTGAATCCACCCTTTCTTGCTGGCTGTCAACTGTTCAGGACTGCAACAATAAGCTTCCTAAAGGAGACACACATTCTAGAAATATTTATTTACAAAACCCCTGAGCAGAGCAATCTATTCCTAGAATAGAATAGAACAGAATAGAATAGAATAGAATAGAATAGAATAGAATAGAACAGACCCTTGGAGGTTTTCTATTCCAGCCCCCTGGAGAACCTATACCATCTCAGACAAGTGACTGTCTAATCTCTTAAAAATCTCCAGTGATGGAGCACCCACGATTTCTGGAGACAAGCAGTTCCACTGATTAATTAATCTAATGTGACGCTACATGTACATTGAACTGAAACTATTCTTTCCCTGTTGTTTTTTTCCTTGATGGCCCTGTATCAATTTTGTCGTATTCCTATGTCAAAATTCCAGGCACCAGATTTCTTGCTCTTCTGAGAAGGCACATCAGAAAACTACATCAACTACGATGATCATGGCTGATCTCAGAAGCTAAGTAAAGTCAACTGGAGTTAGTATTTGGATGGGTGAGTCTCAGAAGTCTAATGCTGCTGGGAAAAAGAATCCCGTCAAATCACTTCTGTACTGTTGCCAAGATCCTTCTTAGATGCAGTTATTGTAGTGGCTCTTCTACACACCAAGAGGTGAATCTGACTTGGAACCATTTTCACTTTTACTCTGGAAAACTTGGCTGCAGTGACCAGAAAGTTGTGTCCATCTTCTTCAAGTTCATGTCTCCCAAAAGATGGAACTGTACCTCCTATCATTATAGTCACCAAGACAAAGGTGGATAATTGAGGATGATAGAAACTTAGTGGCCTCATTCAACTCTTCCAGCTTTAGGATTCTCTGGCAAAATGGCAACCTGACACTGGACAAAGATGGGAGAGTTTTATTGTCTTCTTTGACAGATCAATAATGCATCTCACCTGGAAGACTTTGGGGGCTGAGACGAGGCATGCCAAAGCCGAAGAGAGGGTGGCCCCAAAAATTCCAGCTGTGATGAGAGGGGCGAAGCCAGAAACCATGCTCATGGTCTACAGGACAAGCAAAGGGTAGACAATTAGATCTGAAATATGGATTGTGCATGCAAATATAGAAGCTTCTTTCCCCCTATCATTGGAGAAGACAGAAACTAGTGCTTCAATAACCTTGCACGTCCCTACTGACTAAGGTGGTTTATTTTGTCTTCCTTCCATCAGCAAGTACACTATCTGTCAACTCTACAATGTGCGTGGCTACAGCCATTTTTCTTCTCATTCTAGGTTGCCACATAGAATGGGGGGGGGTTGCCCAGGTGCTTCACTAGTCAAAATAATGTTCTGTCCCATGGGAACCAAGATCATCTACTGCTCCCACAACGTTGTATAAAAAAGCCCGCCAAATGAACATATTGGGGAACATAGTTGCTTGCATAGTTTTGTGGGTGGGACATTATTTTTTGTAACTGGGTAATTGTTACTTGTATATTCAAACTGGGTTTCACTTTTGATCGTGCCGATACTTTGCACCTAATAAACATGTTCTTTGAGGAATTTCCAAGCCTCGGAATTCTGCTTTATTTGCCTCTGTCTGTTGGAACCATGACACTACCTTTGTGTATAATTATACAGGTAGTCCTTGACTTACACTCTACAATTTACAGTTCTATACCTGATAATAATTGATGAGTCCATGTTGACAGCTATGGGTCTGTGTACACTCTGTGAAGTTCCATCCATAGCCACAAGCAATGCCTTCACAACCCATGGAACCAGAGAGGACAGTATCATTAATGCTTCCAGAGGCATCACGGACAACACACGAACCTAGGAAGAGCCATCAAGGTTAATCTCCTATTTCTTTTCCATTCTGTGTTTCCAATGGAGGCCCTAACTCTTTTAGGAAGATCTCTGCAGCTTTGTGTATTGTGCTTTCGCATCAGCCAGCACTGAAAATCCAAAGAGGCAGAAGACACTGGAAGAAATATTTCTGGGATTTCCCATCATCTTCTCTGATTGCTCTCTGACCTTAGGCTGTGAAGCATTATTGGCTTTTTCAAAGACGTTTGTAGAACCAAAACCTCGGGAGATCATAACACGTGGGAGGGGAAGAGATGGGAATTAGAATTTTCACATCACCAATAATTAGACAACATTGAATGCAAGACACAGTTGTGCGTGGTGCAACAACTGGATTGAAATGTAAAAGTCCACACTTGTTCCATCGTTTTGAGAGTCTAGAACAGGGGTCCCCAACTCTGGCCACTTTATGACTTGTGGACTTCAACCATGCTGGCTGAGGAATTCTGGGAGTTGAAGTCCACAAGTCATAAAGTGATCAAGGTTGGGGACCTCTGGTCTAGAATTCAATCTGAAAACATCTCTCTGTATGTAAACACTTCTAGATTTTGCTCATGTTTCCTCTTAGGAGCATAACCAAAGGGAGACCCCCTTATAGCCTTACTCCCACCCTCTGTCTCTGGCCCCATCTTGCCTGCTGGTGAGCTTAAAAAAAATTACAAAATAATTTATGTGCTAAGTGGTGATGCTGAGTTCATGCCACACAAATTGTGTCCTAATGTGTGTAACTGTACCTATCTGTAAACATACCAATTGTAGCCGAAAGAACCAGATATGACACTGTTGTCCAAAAAATAGCCACGAGGGTTCCTTTAGGAATTGCCACAGCAGGATCCTGGCCAAGGGAAACAAATGACAATTTGACAACTCAGACTGATGGTTGGTCTGATATTAATTCTGGGGTTAATCCTAATTAATCCATAGATTGCAAATCCTTGGCAGGATGCAGTCAGGTATAGTCATTAAGCAAATTAGCCTTAATTCTCCTAAAATGAGACATCCCTAATTAATTAATGGGCTCCATTCATTCCTAGGAGACCCCCACCAGTTAGGGTGGCAGGGGATACTTGACATTTTCTAAGGGTTTTCATGCAAACATTGAGGTGCACAGATGACACCAGTTACTCCAAGAGGGCCAGCTACCCCTTCTCCTCCCTGTGGGCCCAGCCAACCCAACCTACCTTCAAGTCACCTGAAATGTTGGCTCCTGCCAAGATGCCAGTGGCTGATGGGAAGAAGATGGAAAACAAACCAAAAAAGTTGCCATCAGGCCCTCGCCAATTGGGAACAAAGTTCTGAGCAAAAATGTTGGCTGAAGGAGAAAAAAAAAATGGAGTGTCCAGGTTTATGAACTGATGCTTGAACTTAGGGTAGTGCAGGGAAGGAGAGGGGACAACCAAATCCATGCAATCAAAGTCTTGCTTCTTGAACACAAAAAATGAAGGGGCACAGCTTCCACCATTTATTTGGGACTGCCCTGTGTTGTGCCTGCTTGTACTCCTTTTAAAGGGGTGTTTCTCAGCCCTGGCTAGCACTGGAACGCTGGGAGGTGAGGTCCACGTGTCTTAAAGTTGCTATGGTTGAGAAGTAAATGTGGACTTCAACTCACCTTGGTAGCTGAAAAATCCTTTGGCCTGCTTCTCCTCACTAGGTGGAATAACTGTCCCCACCAGGTAGTTAATGAACGAAATCATGATCACCACGAAAAAGAGAACTTGAGCCTTGCAAAACCAAGCAAACAATAGTTTGAAGAGTTTAGAAGATCAATCTTCCCAGATCTGGTCTCCTTTATATAGCCAAGTCCATCATGACCAGTTTAGATGGGCAGCTGCCTTCCCCCAACTCAGTACTCCCTCTAGGTATTTGGACTACAAACCCCATCATGCCTAGCCTAAGTGACCATGTAGATATGTTTGATGAAAGCACTCATTCTCCCCATCCACTTGAGGATTCTTCAAAAATGTTGGCCATTCCCTTCCAATGTGACAACTTTTTTTTCCCCATCTTGATCTCTATTAATTTCTAAACATCCATCCTCCTCAGCCAGCATGACAAAAGGACTTTCTTATCTTGGGTTTATTTAACTCAGGATTCCACAAAATGGAAAAGAGCTGGTGGGGAGAGGGAACAGGTGCTCTAGTTTTGGACATGGGAATTTTGTTCTAAAATTAGAATGGGTGAAAGTCTCCATCAATTGCTCTTCTGTTACTAATCTTCTCCAATTTGTGAACATCTAGATCAGGGGTTCTCAACCTTGGCAACTTTAAAACTTGTGGACGTCAACTCCCAGAATTCCTCAGCCAACTTTGCTGAGGAATTCTGGGAGTTGAAGTCCACAAGTCTTAACATTGCCAAAGTTGAGAACCCCGATCTAGATGTTTGCCAGTTTTATCCAATACAACTGAAGAGCATGAAAACTGAGTCTGCAAATATTGCCCTCCACCAATTTTTAAAAAGCTTTCTGCAAGATCTCAGTTCAGACTTCTACTCAGAGTAAGCTCCTTCTCCCCAATTTGTAGCTGCAGTAGAAAAGAGAGACAGCAGGAGGTTCTAAAAGAGGTTGAACATCCATACATCCCATCCCATTTTAGTGGAGTTGACCTTCCTCATCACTCAGTCATGATGGCCAAGAGTTATGAGATGTGTAAACCATGGAAAGACACAATAATTCCTCTTCCATCTTCCCCATTTCCCACAATAACACACTTACCTTGGCTTCCCACTCCATCCCCGCCAAGGATACTCCAAGCAGTACTGTCACAGTGACAACCCCAATGATGCGGATGTCATTGGTAGGGTCTACCATGCTTGAGTGATATTCCTTTGGAGAGAAAAATCCCACCCTCAGTCACCTGCCAATCTCCTGGATCAATGGAAACATGCTCCAATCAAACAAAGCAAGCATCTCTCCATACCGCCCTTCCCACCAGTTCCTCTCACTGTGGTCACATCATACCTGCAAAAGATCTCGCACTGTTTCTGCAAAGCCCACGGTATGCATGGCCACGGCCACGGCATTGGCAAAAGCGAAGATGAGACCGATGGAGCCACCCAACTCTGGCCCAAGGCTTCTCGAAATGAGGAAATAAGTCCCCCCTAAGAAAGGGGAACAGTGCAATCAGCACAGTCACTTTTCAAATTTATTTATTTGGTGTATGGCATCTGCAGAGGTCATGCAATCACCAGTATGCAAGATCAAAGTTCTTGCCCTCTGGAACATCGTATCCCCTAATGTTTCGCAAGGGCCTTAAGATGTGGCTCTGCCAGATGGCTTGGAGACTCAACGGGGGTAGCTTCACATGAGGATGGTTGAGTAATTAAAATTTAATCTCACCTCCCCACCCCTTACCCTGATGTGTCTGGCTCCCTCCTTTCCCCATCTGTTGTCATTAGTTCCCTCAATGGAAGAGTGGATGCTAAAAGGTGACGGAGTTAGCAGAGAGGACAAAGCTGACTGTTTTAAATAACAGAACAGCAGAGTTGGAAGGAAGCCTGGGGGGTCTTCTAGTCCAACCCCCTGCTCAAGCAGGAGACCCTATACCAATCTGGACAAATGGCTGTCCAATCTTTTCTTGAAAACCTCCAGGGATGGAGCACCCACAACTTCTGGAGGCAAGCCGTTTCACTGATTTATTGTTCTATCCAGAAATCTCTCCTTATTTCTAGGCTGGATCTCTCTTTGATAAGCTTAGAATCAACTCAAGAACAGAACAGCAGAGTTGGAGGAACCATGGAGGTCTTCAACCCCCTGTCCAAGTAAGACCAGGGACCGGTTCCGTGGAGAAAGGGTTTTCCGTGGACCGGAGGGTGCGTGGTTTTACGTGCTACCTGCAACCCACAGATGGAGGCTTTGCTTGTCTGCACGGCTTGGTTGCTGGCATGCTGTGGACCGGTTCTGGTCCACGGACCGGGGCTTGGGACCTGTGCCCTATTCCATTCTGAATGTTCCATCACTGGAAGTTTTTAAGAAAAGCCTATCTAGCGTTGTTTCTACTTGGAAACCACTACTGGGTTATTATTTTTTTGCTCAAACCTGAACAAATGAAATTGTGATTTATGTTTTGATAATTAGAATGATTTTTTTATTATAGATATGGCTTAAAATGTTGTGAAATGTAAGGTAAAAAGTTGAGGTTGTAATTTTTTGGGGGGGAGGAGTATTTTACTGCCCTGAAGTCAGAAGTTACTACTCCCCCCCCCTTTCCCTCAGTTCTCTAACTTTTGTTTCTTTTTATCTTACAATGAAATACAAATTTAATTTAATAGATTTAATACAAATCTATCTTAAAAAAGAGGGGTGGTTCAAATATCTGGGAGTATATATTCTATGCACACCCGGATGGTTCCGCTTGCTCTTTGGCTGATGAGTAAATTGCTACCTGATTTGACTTTGCCGTTGGTGGAGATGGCAGAAATGGATAATCCTGTGATGGTGGTCACGGTCACAGACATCAGAATGATCACCCAAGTCAGTGCTGCAAAATGAAAAGAAGTTATTCCGGTTATCAACTGAGGTGCCCCAGCTTCCTCTTAGCAGGAGTTCTCCAAACTTAGCAAATTGAAGACACGTGGACTTTGTCTCCCAGAATCCCCCAGCCAGCCATGCCCAGCAGGAAATGAATTTGACAGGACTTACCGATGCCTGCTTGCGCAGTGATCCAAGGGAGCCGGAGATACAGGATCACTCCCCAGATGTTAAGCATGCAACGAATCTAAAAGGCAGAAGCAGCAACCGGTAATTGGGAAGGACCACGGAAGGAAGGCAGTTTGCTTGTGCCTCTCTGCGGATCTATTTTGTGGTTTTTCCTTTCTTTTTAGAAACTGATTGCGGTACAAATATTCTTTTTTTTTTAATAATTTTTTTTTTCCATTTATCCAACATATCCAACAAAATTCACTTTACAAAATAAAATAAATTCATAACCATAACCATAACCATAGGTGCCGCTTGCTCATTCCCCCCAAGCTGCATCCACCCTTTCTAATACCTTCCCTACTTCCCTCCTCTTTCTCTCCTCCCCTCACTACTCTCTTCCCCTCCCCTTCTCCTCTTACCATCCTACTTCCTCCCTTCACCTTCCTCCCCTCTCATCCCTCTCAAATACAGCGTAGGGGAAATGCCCAAGCAGCACCTCTCTCATAAATTACCATATCTATATTATCCTATTCTACCTATTTACCCACAAATATTCTTAACATTTATACAAATGAATGCGATATTTCTCCACTGTGCTGTTGTGCGTCTTTGGTTGTTTGGGTACTTGAGTTCCATTCTGCAGCAGGAGGTTTACGGCTTTAAGAAATGCTAATGTTGTGGCTTTGTAGATTTAAGCCTAACCTGTACCCCTGCTTTAGGCCTGTTAAAATTACATAATGAGAATTAGCAAGATTGCTGATCAGTACATGAACGTGTTGGTTGTCCTTTAGAGGAGACCAAGCTGGTCCAGGGTGGTGGAAACAATAGCCCAGATTTTGAGATGGTTGGAAAGCATCCTGTGAGTTTTAGCTAAGTCTGTGAAAGCTACTCACCATCACCCCTTTGACCCACCCAAATCGGACGGGCTCTCCTTGATTCTTCTCTTTCTCCTTAGCAGCCTCTTCTTCCACTGCTTCTTCTGAGAAGCTGTTGCTTCTGTGGGCTTCGTATCTCTGTGGGTACCGGTGGCTATTTTCTTGCTGGGAAAACATACGGACAGAGAGAATGGTTTCTAAGGGGGAAGGATATTAGGTTGATAGAACTTTGGAGAATGTGAGGGTGCCAAGCATCAGGAACAATAGGATAATTCTCTCGATGTTTCTGCCTTGGAAGGCTTCACTCTGAAACAGAAAGAGCACAACAGCAGGCTCAGGAGGAGACTGAAGATTAGTAGCATCGATTTTAGGAAGAGCTTCCACGGGGAAGAGACAACAGCAGCAGTCATGATCGTAAAGGATATCAAAGAAGTGGAAGGGAGAGAAGGGAAGGTAGAAGAAGGGGAAGGAAGGACGAAGAAGGGGAGGAAAGGAGAAGATAAAGAAGGGGAATAAAAGGATGAAGGAAAGGAGAGGATGAAGAAAGAAAAGGATGACGAATGGAAGGGAAAAGAAGGGGAAGGAAGGATGAAGAAGGGGAGGAAAGGAGAAGATAAAGAAGGGGAATAAAAGGATGAAGGAAAGGATGAAGAATGGAAGGGAAGAGAAGGGAAAGAGGGGAGGGGAGGGGAGGGAAGGGGAAGGGAGGATAAAGGCTCTGGATTAGTTGGAATATACCTTAAGAAAGGAGTGCAGATCTGCAAGTGTTGGTCTTGGATTCTTAATTTCACTAGATATCTTGGTGTTGGCATAGTTTTCATAATTGGGCACAACATCAACAGTGTTGTAGCCAAAGGTCTGCATGTAGAAGGTGCTGTTATGGGTACAGTGGCTGCTTTGGGAGATGTCGTAGGGAGCAGCACCCGTTGGACTGTAGTGGTTGGTGCCAGTGCCTTCAGGGCCGATCAAGGTGCTAATGGTGAAGCGGCCATTCAGACAGCCTTGGTCTTCTCGTTCGGTCCCTGGCAGCTCCACCATCTCATGCCTTCCCCTCTTCATCTCAACTCACCCTGAAATCACAGATCCCAGGGGAGTGTGTGCCGATTGGGGTCTGTAACGCCGTGGGTCAGACATGTGGGCTTTTTATAACCTATGAAACCAGAAAAAGCTGGCATAAAAGACTGGTTTGAGGGACTCCTGAGCTTGTGGCTGAAAATAGCAGCCTGGAGGAATATCACACTCACCAATTCCAGTTCTAGATCAGGGCGGTGATAACGGATTTGGTATTAAGTCCTAAGGAAAAAAAGCCAATGAAAACCCCACCTAAATCGAAGGCTGAAACAAGGCTTCCGCTGCGATTCATTTTGTTTGGGGACATTAAGCTTCCCTTATTTTCTAATTAGGTCAGACAATATCTGGACAGGAACTGGGGCACCGCTTCGTGGATTATTTTATGAGAACTAGTCTAATGTGCCTCTGACCTTCTCTAAACTCTATTTGTTCCCAGGCGAGCCCCAAATTTCCATTGCTAAGCAGGACAGTTGATAAGTGAGTTTTGCCCCATTGTAGGACCTGTCTGGCCACAGTTGTTAAGTGAATCACTGCAGCTGGTAAGTTAGTAACAGGGTTGTTAAAGGAATCCAGCTTCCCCACGGAGTTAGCTTGTCAGAGGGTTGCAAAAGATGATCCCTTGACCTGGGGACACCTCAACTCTTATAAGTACATGCCAGTTGCCAAGCTTCTTAATTTTGATCACGTGACCCATGGGGATGCTGCAGTGATCCTGAGAAAAATGGTCATTAGCAGGGCTTTTTTTTGTCATAGAATGCCCAGAACAGAGTTCTGGCACCTTTTTGGGATGGAACCTTGTAGGGTAGGCAAGGCAGGTTGTATGACGTGTGTGAGTTCCGGCACTTTTTTTTTTTTTTTTTTACTAAAAAAGCACTGGTTATAAGTGACTTTTTTCAGTGGCATTGTAGCTTTGAACTGCCACTAAATGAACGGTTGCAAGTCAAGAACGACATGTAGTAAAGGAAGTCACTGAAAGTCTATGGAAGTTCTCAGTCCTCCAGGTCAGGATTGTCCCAAAGGTGTTTTTTCAGCTTTTCATTTGAAGCTGAAGAAGCTTCTTGGATGACGTAGTAATTTTCAAAGTTTAGAGATGCTAGAGATTCTTGGTTTTGTGTGCTGCCTGCATCTCACAGACGGGGCTTTGCTTGTTTGTGTCTGGACTGGTTGCTGGCATGCCGCCGCCCGGTACTGGTTCACGGAGCAGGGGTTGGGGACCCCTGTCCTAGGCAACCTCACAAAATTCCGGGGAGGATAACACTGAGAGCCCCACTGGACCCTGGAAGGATGGCTATAAATGTCATCGTACAAATATTGGCTCAAAGTTGAAAAAACCTGCTGGAATAACTACTTCCAATATTCAAAATGCTGCATTGGGCTGATTGCTGCCGGGGTAGCTAGTGATTTGCCAAGTCACTTAGCGACATTCAAGCTTAGACAGATAATGAGCTGGAAAAAGCATTTGGAATCCAGCACTGACAATCTTTTTTTCACCAGCTAATGCAAAGCCGTGCCAGTTTTCTGTGGGACTGTAAAGAGTGACTGGGCGAGCGCAGAGTAATTTAAGATTTATTTTTAGCCGCTGCATTGTAGTGAGTTTGGGTTTTTGATTGGAATCCTTGGCTCCAAATACTGCTACTGATGGCACAGTTCTCTTCAACTCTTCAAATCGGGGGGGAAAACAACCCAGAACTTCCTCCTAAAAATTAAGTACTTCAAATTCTAACAATTCTGAAGGTTGTCCAGTTGATTAAAGCTATTCTAGATGTGCAAATTACAGCCAGTTTTTCCTCTCTCTCCAGAGCGTATTGTTGGCAGCCAAGAAAAGCCAATGGACCATTAAACGAATTAGCCCAGATGTCTACGGAGATTTTCAGTCATCCCATCACGGTTATCCCAAAGGTATTTTCTTAAAAGGCAACTGGACTTTGTTTTTCCTTGACAATGTTTTGCTTCTCATCCAAGCTGGATGAGAAAACAAGGAAGAAACAAAGTGGTTACTTTTTGAAAAAGTACCTTTGGGACACAATTAGTGCAAAATTTTCACTCAAGACTCAAATGTCCAAATTATCCTACTTTGGACATACTATGCAAAGACCCAACTTTTAAAGAGAAGACTCTAATGCTGGGAAAGGTGGAAGGAAAGAGAAGAAGACAACCAGCAGCAAAGTAGATGGACTGTGACAGAGGTGTTGAAGACACTATTGGAACATCTGAAGGACCAGGTTAGAGACAGACCATCATAAAGACAATCTACCTATGTGGCTGTTAAGAATTGACAATTACTTGATGGCATGCAGTCAATCACTCTCCTCTCTCTGAGGAGTAGCGCTGAGTTCCTGACCTCCTACCCCATTCCCAGTTTTCCCTCCTGTGCTTCCCATATGAGTCCCAACTCAAACCATCTTCAAGGGGAGCTACTTTGCCCATCCAAATCCGGTACCACTATCCCGTTCCAAGCTCCATTCTTGCAGGCAGCTGGAGAGTTGCAGAGAAGGAGGAAAGAGAGGAGGAAAGAATTCAAAATGGAATTCTGAGAATTGTGGTACATGTGTGTGTGGATTTGGTTTGGCAACCAAAGGCTGAATGTAATCCACAGTTTGCTCACCCTACATTATTCACCAGTTATTACAAAAAATCAAGGAACTCATCAATGAAAACCAAAGATATATAATGGCCCTCAACATGAACCCTACATTTGGCTGAGATAATAATTTTCAGTTAAAATATTTATTCAAACATAGAATGTTTTTTTAGATCACACATACATGGCAGAATATAAATATCCTTCTAGTTTTGTAGCTTTATTTTTTATGCAATTATAACATCACATATCCCATTTCCATTTTTCCTGCTAGTTTCCAAGCCATCGTCATATACTTCAAAACAACATGACCTACCACAAAAATTGAGTTTTTTAGAAAAACAACAACCGTGTAGCTTTTTGTCCAAACTCCATCACCAAATGGCCCAGATTCCATAAACCAATCATGCATTGTGAAGATCAGATCTTCAACAACCCTTTAACATAATTTTATCTGGATTGGGATTCTCATTTTTATTGTTTTAGAGATATTTACTTGTTTAGGATTTTAATATTTTAATGCTGTAAGCTGCCCAGAGTTTGTTTCATTACGAGATGGGCGACAAATAAATTTAATAAACAAACAAATATAATCAATGGAATCCCTCCATTTCTTTTTCACCAGTTCCCCACCCCAATTGTTTACGACGTAGAAAACAATCATTTCTGTGGACTTTATTCTAAATTAGAGATCCTCTGATTTGGGAGGTATTCTTCTGAATGAAGGGCGAAGCCATGGAGCTTTCTTGATGCCGGATGTTGTCCATCCATTCTGCAAAATGTGGACCGATCTAAAGCAGTCGACGTCTTCAGATTCAGAAGAGGAGGGAAGGAAAAGCCGTTCCATTTCCAGGACTTAGAGGTGACTTTGGAGCGAATCGGCCGCCTCTGGGTGTCGGGTTGTGCAAGTGGTATGATGCGACCCTGGTGTAGTGAAATAGCCGGATAGTAAGACGCACTTTTTGTCGGCCTGATTCACAACACCAGCTGCAGCAACAATACCGGAATGTCACCCTGGACCATCTAGCTTCTCCTCCGCTTTGAAGAACAGCTTCTTGAGGTTGTTTCGGAATAAATCACATTAAAAAGAAATACACCCTCAGCCCAATCAAGCATTTCCCTGGGATGGTTTTGTTTGTCGGCTGCACAAGCTCCCTACGCAAAGCTCGATTCCTCTCTGGGTCTTGGGCAAGACACAGCTACTCGTGGGGTTGGACTAGAGCAGCGGTGGAATAGAAGCGGCAGTGTGGAAGGGTTGGGAAATGGTTTCATGCATGCAACCTAATCCCGACCTGCACATATGCAGTTTTGTCTGCTCGCCCATCGCTTGTGCGATCCAGTTTCCAACGGGCCGTGGACTGGAACCGGACCATAGACTGGGGATTGGGTACCTCTGGATTAGAGAACCTCCAGCCTATGATTCTTGGGGGAACAGCAGAAAGGAATAGATAAACTGATACCTATCAGATCCTAAAGGCAGCAACCAACAAGTTCATTTCATTTGCAGATTGCTTACTTTGAACCAATTATTAATAAAATCCAATAGAAATACTCAAACTCTCAACATTTAAATTGCCAGATACTCAAAGAGACAATCTTGAACATTGTGTTTCCTTCCTTTTCTTAATGCAACAGAAATCCTTCAACATCCCTCCCCAACAAAGATCTCCAAATTACAGGGGTAGGCAACCTTGGCTCTTTTATGACTCATGGACTTCAACTCCCAGAATTCCTGAGCCAGCCATGCTGAGGGGAAAGGGAGAGGTTTCCAAGCTGAGCCATGCTGGCTCAGGAATTCTGGGAGTTGAAGTCCATGCGTCATGAAAGAGCCAAGGTTGCCTACCCCTGGGATAGACCATAGATGGAAGTACTCTTTAAGTTGGGGCTCCACACAGTTGGGGGGCAGCAGGCTAAAATAAGTGAGCGGGGGGGAGGGTATCGATGGGAGGGCTCCAAAAAGTCAGTTCATGGCTGTGCAATGTGTTCTTTCTTGCATTAACTTATGAATTACTTATTCCTGCAGATGAAAGTTTGCTCAATTCACAAAATTACAAGTTAACCTAGATATAATTCATCATACGAGCTACATCCTGTAGGGCTTACATCTTGGAATTAATAATGGCAATTAAAGGAAAGTAATACCTAGCATTACTTATATTTTTTTAAACACAGGTAGTCCATAATTGAGCCCCAAATTTCTGTTCTTAAGGGAGATATTCGTTCAGTGAATATCAGTACTCCCCCAAAACAGGTTGAAAGTTCTGTCTTCTTCAGACTGCCGGCCTTATCCAGGTACCCTAGGACTTTGAACCCTCCAGAGGAAAGATAAACGACCAAAACTTTTAAGAGACTGGTTGCCCTCAATATGCTAAGGCAATAGCTGAATTCCAAACCACACATTAATTCATAAATTACCCATTTCCACGTAGTCCAGAGAGTTGGGACAACCCAGCTATTTTGTGCACTACATTGGGCTGAATTTGACAACCAAGAGTCAACTCTCAATGACCTGTGAAAGGGGGAGGGACAAAATAGTCACGGGGGAGGGGGGGCTATTAATCTTCCAGGGAATAAAATAAGGACATAGTACCTGCTTCCTGTGGTCGTAACTTAAAGGATCTTTCTCGTTCTCCTTCAAAAGAAGAAAGAGTTTGGAAAGTAAAACAAACAAATGAGAGAATATAAGAAAACCGTGGAAAGTAAAATAAGGTATCGATAAAACAAATGTATAAATCCAAAGAAATTATTTATTGGGGTGGAGGGAAATGCGGACAAAAAAAGAAAACGAAAATTAAACAGGAGGCCCGTCACCATCACCCTTTCAACGTGCACACAAAAGAACCAACTTCCCTGCCTAGCTAGTTCATGAGAACCTCCATCTGGACTAGCCGAGCGTTGGTGTCCCCTGACGTTCTGTAGGGGATCATCCCGGCGAAGGTGATGAGTGCCCGAGCTTGAGATCGGAGTTGCTAAGGGGTATCAAAAGAAGAAGAAGAAAAATTAGCTGGATCTGGAGAGAGAAAGATAGCTTGGGATAGGCTCATTAGCTCAATTGCTTAATTTCAAAAGTCAGCTTTGTACAGCAGTGAAAAGTAGACCTTTATTATCACTACTGTGAATATAAGCTGAGCTGAAAGGATGACCTTGTCTATTATGGAAAAAAAAAAAACTTACTGAATCTCGGTCCTCTATGACCCGGGTGGGCCTAGCAGGCGTGGCTGGGCTGGCACATTTCAACCTCTTATACTGGGTAAACAAGATATTCATTGTGGCAAGCAGCACCTCTGACAAATTGTGCCTGATCTAAGAAAAGTAAGAGGGGAAGAAAAGACAAGTAGAATGAAAACAACAAAAAAAGGAGAGCTGAAGGTCATATTGGTTGATCCTAGAGATTACTGAGTGGACCTCATATTGTTCTCCAGGTTTTCTTTGGTGGCAGCTACTCCAGGAATGGGGGGGGGGATTCATATCTGGGAAGTTCTACTGAACATTGAGATCATGCCAATTCTGGCCTCCTACTTCCATTCGCCCCTTAACAGTGTCGCAATTTTCTGGGCCAATTTTAGTCTGTTAACGGGCTTTAAGAATTGGAATAGAAGCAGTATACATACATTCGCTTTTCCCCAAAAAAGTGAAAGAGAATAAAAGATGAAAAATTCAAACAAATTGTCCTCCAATGAGATCTCCAGCTTACCAGTAGGGCAGGGGTCTTCAAACTTAGCTCTTTTATGACTGGTGGACTTCAACTCCCAGAATTCCTGAGCCAGCCATGCTGAGGGGAAAGGGAGAGGCTTCCAAGCTAAGTCGTGCTGGTTCAGGAATTCTGGGAGTTGAAGTCCACGAGTCATAAAAGAGCCAAGGTTGCCTACCCCGGGCCTAGAATATTTTTGGAATTGCAATGGGACATAGCTGGTATGATCAGAACAACTTATCTGAAGTCTGGTGTGTTTCAGATTCAAAGTCTTTTGGAGGGGGGCAGGCTGTGAAGTACCAAAACCAGGCAGTAGCAGCGGTCATAGTTCCCACAGCACAAGAACTCTGATGTTATGCCTGATTTAGACAGAGAAAGGAAAGGGACAGAAAGAGCTCCTTGCTTACTTCATCGCTGAAATGCCTGAAGGCTGCGACTCGCTCTTCCACGTACTCTTGACTCAGTGGAACTAATTTTAGCTGTTCAATGATCTGCAGTGAAAGATGCATAGATAAGGTACAATCAATACAAGTGGAGAGAACGAGACATTGCTGGTATATCTGCTTCTCCATTCGCCTCCCTTTACTTATTTAACTTCTGCGCTGCCCATCTTGCCTATGGAGTTATCTTTAGGCGGCTTACAACCAATAAAAGCAGCAAGATAAAACATTTTAGAGACCGAGTAATATTCTATTCAGTAACTACGGATCCAGCTTAAGTTTAAAACAAAGACCGTTACCCCGGGAAGTTTCTTAAGATCCACCTGCTGTTTCTCCAGTTTACTGTTGCTGGGACTGGTCTTGCAGGAGGACGTGACTTGAGCGTGTCAGTTTCAACTGCAACCAGAATCAGCAGGAATTGGACATTGGAAAATTTGCTGTAAACAGGTCTCTCCAGACTGCAGACTGTTGCTCTCTGAGAGGTTGACTACCTCTTGGCCAGATCAGGAACGGGGCAATATGCAATCCTCTTCCCTGTGGCCTCTGTACCCCCAAATCATGCCAACGGGAACGTAATATAGCATTTGTTAGAGAGGGGGAAAGCCCCCGCATTGCAAACCTAACTACTCTGTGTGCTGAGTAGGAAATATATATATATATATATACACATACATACGTACGTACGTATGTACGTACGTACGTATGTATGTAGGTCTTTGGTTATTCGGGTTTTCTCCCGCGTAAAATTGGAAGTGTCTTGGCGACGTTTCGACGAAGTCCCATTTGTCATCTTCAGGCTGGTGTTTTCAGCTTCGTGCTCCTCGAAGCACAAAGCTGAAAACACCAGCCTGAAGATGACGCCAAGACACTTCGAATTTTATGCGGGAGAAAACCCGAACAACCAATACAATAATAATATTGGTTGTTATAATATAATAACATGGCATAATATTATGAATACTTCCAAGTCAGGCTTAAAGAGATGGAGTCTTGTATCTTAAAATTTTGCCATGGTCTTCTTGTTTGTTTGCTTGTTTTGATTTTTTTTATTTTTTGATTGCTGAATCCTATGCAATTTTTCCCCATTATTTTTCCTGAGCTTTCCATTCACCTGATTCCCCCTGTCCAATCTGTAGCTCAGTTTAAAAACTGAGAAATAACTAGGCAAAAAATCAGGACAACCCTGTCAATTATAGACTCTGATTAAAGCTAAAAAAAAATATTGCAATGCCATCCTACACAAATCAAGAATCTTAATCTTTACGGCTAACGTAAAAACAAATTACACCAAGGAATAGTCATGATTCTACCAACAGCCACCACCACCGGTGCCCAGTGTCCCTTAAGGCCATTTTATTGTTATTCAGCCAGTTTTCATGGGCTGCTTTAGTTGCCATCGAGACAAGAACAGTTAACCAGTGGCCACTTGTTCCAGTGTAAAATTCAACCCTTCCTATTTGGAGGCAGACTCAAAACCAGCTAAAGTTGAACAGTTTCAGAGACAAAGGTGAGGGAAGCTTACATCAAAGGCCCTGTCGATATGGCCAGCGTGATACTCATCAAAAAAGGTGATCAGGTCTAACAGGAGATAAAAGGTTGAGTCCATTGGCTTCTTGGAACTTATTCCTTGTGCTTTATACCTGCAACAAATTGAAAGAGGATGCGCCATTAAAGCTTTGGGAAGGCTTCGCAGCTTGCTATTTATTTAGTTGTATCCCGTCTTTTATTATTTTTACAAACAACCCAAAGGTGGAGGACATATTCAACACATCTTCCCCTTTCTATTTTCCCCAAAACAACAGCAACAACCCTATTGGTGGTTGGGCTGAGAAAAAGGGACTGGCCTAAAGTCACCCAGCTGGCTTTCATGGCTAAGGCAGGACTAGAACTCAAGATCTCCCGCTTTCTAAACTGGTGCCTGAACTGCTAGACCAAAGTGGCTCTCATGTTCTCTCAGCAATTCAGCAGTTAAGAAAAGAGGCAGGTTTCAGGCACAAATAGTCCTCAGCTTACGACCACAATTGGCATAAGAGTTTCTGTCACTAAGCAAGGCGATTGTTATGTGAGTTGTGCCCTAAAATGCAGCAGCAGCAGCAGCATACATGCTATTCTAGCTCAGTGCACGACCTCTGAATGCATAATCCAAGGCTTCTCCCCAAGCTTCGATGGAGAAGGTCAAAGTAACCTGGCTGTGCTGGCCTGGGCAGGATTTCCCAAGCCCCACCCCTCCCCCCCTGCCCCAGGCCAGTCTCTCACCTCTCCGCAACGGCATGTGCCATGTTCTTCAGCCTTTCCTTGTTAGATTGGGGAGCGCTGACCTGAGACACCACAGGGCTTAGCAACTTGTTCATCAGCTCAAGGACTTTGTCAGGGTTCTGAGGAAAGCAGAAACAGAGAAAGGAAGCATTGCAGGACTTAGTTAAAAAGGCCTTCCGGAAAGCCGGAAGCAGAGCAGCAATCACCGGGGGAGGAAGGGGGAGAAGGGAGGGCTAGGGGGCAGATCCTAGGGCAGGGGTAGGCAACCTTGGCTCTTTCATGACTCGTGGACTTCAACTCCCAGAATTCCCGAGCCAGCAGGGCTCAGCTTGGAAACCTCTCCCTTTCCCCTCAGCATGGCTGGCTCAGGAATTCTGGGAGTTGAAGTCCACGAGTCATAAAAGAGCCAAGGTGGCCCACCCCTGACCTAGGGACTCCCTGGATCAATTAAGGTGGGAGGCAGGGAGCAAAGTTGGTGAAAAAGCTAAGAAAGGCCTTGTACTTTATATCTGCAACAAATTAAAAGCAGATGTGCCATTAAACCTTCCAGAAGGCTTCACAACTGGATGTTTGCTTACAGGTACTCTTCGACTTACACCAGTTCGATTAGTAACCCTTTGAAGTTACAACGGCACCGTTTTTCATACTTACAACCATTGTGGCATCTCCAGGGTCACATGATCAAAATTCAGACGCTTGGCAAGTGACTTGTACTTATGACGGTTGCAGTGACCAGAGTCACGTGATCCCCTTTGGCAACCTTCTGACAACCAAAGTCAATGGGGGAAGCCGGTTTCACTTAACAACCGAGTTACTCACTTCACAACTTTGGCAAGAAAGTTTGGAAAGTGGGGGCAAAATTCACTTGACAAATGTTTCACTTAGCCACAGAAATTTTGAGCTCAATTGTGGTCGTAATTTGAGGACTGCCTGTATTTGAATCCCGCCTTTTGGGTAAAATGAGGACCCAGATCGTTGGAGCCAAAATGCTGACGCTGTAAACCACTTAGAGAGGGCTGTGAAGCACTGTGAGGCGGTGTGTAAGTCCGAGTGCTGTTGCTAAGTGCTATTTCCTTTTATTATTTCTACAAGTCACGCAAGGCATATCCAACACATCTTTCATCCTCCACTTACCTTGGCAAGGTCATACAGTTTGGCAGCTTCTTCAAACAATCCTTTGTTTTCTGCCACTGAAGCCACTTTATTAATAATTGGCTTGGTGTCTCTGGTAAACTTGTCAATAACTCCAGGCTGGTAAAAGATGACAAATTAAAAAAAAAAGGTGAGATAAAATAAATAAAAATAAAAAGACTTGAGGAAAACTGAATAGTGTCATCCCCAGCCCAAGAGTGACATAGAACAATCCAGCCAGTTCTTTATTAACTCACAGCGTATAGACCAGGGGTAGGCAACCTTGGCTCTTTTATGACTCGTGGACTTCAACTCCCAGAATTCCTGAGCCAGTATGGCTCAGTTCGGAAACCTCTCCCTTTCCCCTCAGCATGGCTGGCTCAGGAATTCTGGGAGTTGAAGTCCACAAGTCATAAAAGGGCCAAGTTTGAAGAGCCCTGTACTAAGGGAAATTCTAGCAGGACCCTACAAGCACCTGTAACTTAAATAAGAAAGCGGATGGGTTTCCCTTCAGATTAATTACAGGTAGTGCTCAACTTACAACCACTTGTTTAGTGACCATTCAAAGTTTCAGCGGCACAGAAAAAAGCGATTTATTATTCAGTTTCATTTGGCTATTCAAAACAAGAAGAGAAGAGAGAGCTGTATACTCAAGGTTACCTTCCTACTGCCATCGTTATCCAGTTTTCCAAGAATCATGTCAAACTATCCGTGCAAGAGAAAACAAGAACAAGAGTTAGGAAAGATATGCTGGTACTCCCATTATGAATGATCAAGATTTTAATGGATACAGGTCATCCTCAACTTGCTGACCAATTGCTGAGCAACTGTTTGAAGTTAAGACAGATCTCCCCCCCCCAAATTACGGCTGCTTACCTCTCGGCTCTCAATCACCAGCTCGCTCACACAACGCAGGAACATGTTTTCGCCCTGGCTGTCCTTCTCATTCCTAAAACAGGGATCACAAAAGTGGTCAAAAATACATTTACGGTTAGAGAAAATGACTAAAAAACATATAGATTTTAAGCCAGAATTATTTTTGTTAGGAATAATAGGAGCAAATTATGAGAAAGACTGTACATACTTAATTTTACATTGTATTAACTGCAGCTAGAATTCTATTTGCCCAATACTGGAAAAATGAAAATCTACCAATGGAGGAAGAATTAATTAAGAAAATCTACTTAGATTGTGCAGAAATGGACACATTGACATTGAAGATAAAAGAGAAAGAAGACTCAGTGTATTTTAGAACATGGGATAATTTTTACCAATGGCTAGGAAAGCGAGTTAGAGAGAAAGGACTGTGATATGTGACATTGAATATATATTAGTAAGAAGACAACTACTGAGCGATTAACATATCATTTATGTTAATTAACTATTATTCATTGTTTTTTAAATACATGAACCCAGACCACATTAAAAATGTTACTGTATTTTAAAAAATCCTAGCTCTAACCCCAACCCTAACCCTATTCCTAATCCTATAAAAATGAATAATCATTTGGCTTAAGTAGGGCAGGAACTAACCTGAGAAAATAGAAGTACTGCAAGGCTTCACGGGGGTCTGTGGACTCAAACTTGCGGGTATATAGCATCAGGAGTCGGACAAGATTCAGGCGCCGGGTGGCCGGAGGGTCACCAGCCTCATGGCTCACTGCAATGGAATGAGGCAAAGATTGTGCAACAGCACCATTTTGTCCAAAAAAGTAACCAAGGGTGTCCAGAAGGATAAAATCCACATTTAAGAGCAATCCTCTTCCAGTTCCCAGAGATTCAGAATTCAAAGACTGATATCACCATCATAAGCTACTTGAAAATCTTCCCAAAGATCTTAACACAACAACTTCCAATGAGAAAGGCTACTGGGAAGACAGTAAGATAAGAAATTCTGATGTTGTTGTGTGGATTTCTATCACCATGTTCTACACAACTGAGATCTCTCTCTCTCTCTCTCTCTCTCTCTCTCTCTCTCTCTCTCTCTCTCTCTCTCTCTCTATGTCCTTCTAGCTGAACTGCCAATCAAACCATGGTAACATGGATCACTTCCTTCCAGTTTATATTCCAGAAGGATGAAGAAAGAGGGATTTAGGAGTTACAGTTTGGAAAAACAGTTCTAAGACATCCGAGGGTCCTAGGCAAGCAGTGACTGACTGTGGAATTAAGTGAAGCTCTTTGGAAGCCGTTTTAAGTTAGCTAATAAATGTCAATTTGTTTCTTGTTTAAATGTTAATTAGGCGAGTGTCCTGTATTGTATCTTCTCCATGTTTCACCTAATTCTGGAAGTCACAAAGAGGAGAAAAAGATGTAATAGTGTTAGCAAGAAAAGCAGCTCCTGTAGGCATCTCCCAGACTTATTAGGATATTTGACGAGTTTTGTATCTTCTCCCGCCCAGGACAGCAGGACAATAAGCTTATTCTCCTGATGTTCATTTATTTTTCTCGGCTGTTGATCTGGCTGTCTGCCACCATGTGGTGACAGTCACCGGAACTGGTGACTTTGATAACTTGCAACAGCTGTTAATGGGATTAGCCAAGGAAACTGAAAACAAAACTTTCATTGACAGGCAATATACTGTGGTTACCAAGAGGCCACTGTATCGTAATTCTTAGGGCTGCTTTCAGCAAGCCCAAGAAAAGAACAAAATACTGATTTATGAATTGTTCCCTACTTTGAAAACCCAGGGTCGTGCTTCTTAAAAAAACAAACAAACCAAAAACAGAAAAGAAATGCTAATAAGAGCGGGATACCATTGGAAGAGATGTATCATCCCAAATTGTCCGACAATTATTTTATCTTTCCAAGAGGTACGGTAAGCCTAATCTTATTAAATTATCAAAATGAGGCAGGTTGAGCTTTGTTGTATTTAGGAAAAAATGAAAAAAAAAACTATGTAGTGAAAACTCAACACGGGGCCAAATGTTGACAGTGCAGTCCTGGGGAATTCTGGGTATGCAGTATGTCACCCATCAATTGCTCACCAGTGCAATATAAGATAATGAATTGGCCATTCCACACCCTTTGTGCAATTGTTGTGAGGTCATAACAACTCTCTTTAGGCCCCGGGTTGACAACTTGAAGATGAGTGGACTTCAGCTCCCACGATTCCTCAGCCAGAATCCCCCACCCATTCCCCTTGCTGGCTGGGAAATTTTGGGAGTTAAAGTTTACGTATCTTCCGGTTGCCAACACTGAGAAATGCTGGTCTAATTATTTAAAAGTGTCTCTCTGTTTCATGCTTCTCTTCATAGGACACTCTATGGTTCAAAATGGCTTCTCCCTCTATTCTCGGAAGGCTTCCAACGGCGCCATGGCCACAGTCCAACAAAACTTACGGAGTTGTGCAGTCTGCCCAGAAGATTTCAGCAGCAGCTTCAGTTCAAAGAGAACCAAGGCCACGTGCACCGCATGGCAACGCAAGCGTTCGGTGCGGAAAAGGAAAGCGATGGCAGCTTCAAATTGGGCGGTGAGGAACAAGACTTGGAAGTAGAGGAATGGCTGCTGGTTCATGGCAAAGTGCGACTCGCCTGAAGAAAAGCACAAGGGAAGAAGGTCTTACAGCTGATCCTCAAAAATGCAGATGTCAGTTGTCCCCCCCCCCCAAAAAAAGATCAGAAAGCAGAAATAATGATTTATTTTACTGGTACAGGAAGTCCTCGACTTACGACCACAATTGAGCCCCGCATTTCCATCACCAAGCAAGACAATTGTGAGGCGAGTTTTGCCTCATTTTACAACCTTCCTTGCCACTATTGTTTTAAGTCAGGAGTAGTCAACCTTGGCTCTTTTATGACTCGTGGACTTCAATTCCCAGAATTCCTGAGCCAGCTTAGCTTACCCCTGTTTTAAGTGAATCACTGCATTTGTTAAGTTGGTACTGATGGTTGTTAAAGTGAATCTGGCTTCCCCTGCTGACTTTGTTTGTCAGGTCGTAAAAGGGGATCGCAAGACCCCCGGGACACTGCAAGCGTCGTAAGTATGAGTCAGTTGCCAAGCGGCCGAATGTTGGATCACGTGACTGTGCGGATGCTGCAATGGTCGTAAGTCACTTTTTTTCTTATCGTTGTAACTTCAAATGGTCGCTAAATGAACTGTTGTAAGATGAGGACTGTCTGTATCCTGTTTTTCTACCCTGGGCATCACTCGGGCCGACGAACAGGAAAAGGAAAGGAAAAACTGCAGAATTGAAGAACTTTAAAGTTCAGGATAAAATTAACAGTGACCCCAAGTCCCAAACTCAACCATTTACATTTGAATGGAAGAGACATGGAATGGAAGAGAATGGAAGTGTTTTTTTTTTAAATTTGATTTAAAACTTTCACCATTTCCAGAAAGCCTGACAGGGCATCCTAAAAGACAGACTTAGCAGGAAAGCTGCAGAACAGGTGGCAAGGCAGATGGAATCATAAACATTTTTTAAATATCACTGCTAAGATAAGATAGTGGTATCAGTCTAGCTTTTTAAGAAAAGTCATAAATTGCTAGTTTCGGAGTCTTTACTATCTACTGAAGCCGAGATGCTCAGACAAGAATGCTTACTTGGATACGCCGTGTCGGTTTATTGGACAAACTCATTTTTAAAAGTCCCAGAACCAGATCTACTCAAGATCTTGGGATCACCTTTCTGCGTAGTAGTTTATTTTCAGAAATCTCCAGGTATTCTCCTTAGCTGAACTTACCATAATCTTCAAGCAGCTGTTTCTGGAATTGGGACAAAGTCAGCCTGTCTTGTGGCGCGCTAGAACCGTTCTCGTCAAAGCATACTTGATTCAGCTAGAAAAAGATGGGAAAAGTAGCTTGTGCATCACTCTTTCTTTTCCCAATGGATGCATGCAATAGGTTTTCCAAAAGCGGAATAGATCTATGAGAAGCTACAAAGAACCAACACTGGATGGAAGGAAGCAATGGAAGGGCTGGCACCTGGGTCTGGCGAAAACTGGGAAGTGTGGAAATCGTTGAATAAACTGTGCACGGGTTCAAGATCCAGAGACCCACTCTGAACAAATGGGGGCGATCTGGTGGCTTCTGCCCTTTGCAATTGTGGCGACATGCAGAAAACAACATATATGTATACCCTTTTGCGTCCTGATCCATGTACACTCATGGCAGTGTGTCAGAACACTATTTAATGTCGCTCGTTTCAGGCAGGATCCCTTTAACTTTTTTTAATCTTGTATTTTATATTTTAAAGCTTACATCGTGTTGTATGCCTTATTTTAATTGTGATGCTTCTCATGTGAATAAACAAACAAACTTTCCAAAAGCCAAGAATCATAGAAATATAAGCCTGGAAGGGACCTTGGAGGTCTTCTAGTCCAACTCACCTGCCCAAGGCAGAAGTCCTTATATTATCATGGATAAATAGTTTTCCAATCTTTTTTTTTTTTTAAAAAAAAACCTCCAGCAATGGAGCACTCACAACTCTGAGAGGCAAGCTGTTCCAGTGATTAATTGTTCTTACTGTGAGGAAGTTGATCTTTAGTTCTGACCCACTTCCACCCATTGTTTTTTGTCCTACCTCAGATGTTTTGGAGAATAGGTTGACTACCTTTTCTGTCTGGCAGTGCCCCAAGTTTTGGAAGACCACTGTTATCCCTAATCCTTTGATAAGCTAGATATGCCTAGTTCCATCAACCATTCATCATACACTTTTACCTCTGGACCTCTTATCAACTTCGTTGCTCTTCTCTGCACACTTTCAAGGGTCTCAAAATAATAATAATAATAATAATTATTATTATTATTATTGGTATCATGGTGCCAGAAATGGACACAGTATCCCCAGTGTGTCTTTACATATCATGGTCCTTGAGCTGGGATGAGGACGGGAGCTCACCCCTTTGTGTGGTGCTCAGGACTTGAACCTAAGTTGCCGCTTTCCAGTCGACAAGCCCAGCATCTTTAACCACTGAGCACCTGTGCCGCCCCTTAAGTTTATATGAAGAGGAAGAAAAAAATGAATACGGTCAAAAAGGTGGCAGCCACAACAATCCTTTTGAAGGGAAGCCGATTACCTTCAGCCAAAGATAATCTTCGGTTTTGTCCGCAACTTCGCCGTGGTTATCAGCAATATCACACCGGCCTATGATACAATACACAGCTCTTTTGTAAGGATCAGTGTTGTTTCTCAAAGCCCGTCTGTAGTGGAGGCGAACTTTGTTCTCAGTAGCAGGAGAAAGCCTACAATTTTAAAAGAGGAAGTTGAACCTTGAGCCAAAGTTGGGGGTTTGTTTTTTTCTCAAACCGCCTACCCATGCTGCAAAAAGTCGTCTTTTGAGCCGAGCAGCTTCCCTGTAACAGAAATACTTTTTTTTTGATGCTTTTTTGCTGATTGAACTCTGTTTCTCGTGGAGTTCACCGTACTTTATATTTCAGAAACCGTCCTAATAATATAACATCAGCAATCCAAATTCAGACTTGTCAGATGGATTGAAACAACAGATCCAAATTATTTCTTCCCACTAACATAATGTAGCTTCACACTCAGAAAGAGTGATTAATTTTAAAAATAGATATGTTCCACTTGAAGCAAAAACAAAAAACAAAATTAAGTGCATTTTTCAAACGGCTGCACCTTCTGCGAGGCCCAACTGCTTCAGAATCATTAATTTAAGGCAGTGTTTCTCAACCTTGGCCACTTGAAGACATTGTGGACTTCGATTCCCAGAATTCCCCAGCTAGGGAATTCTAGGAGCTGAAGTCCACATGTCTTCAAGGGGCCAAGATTGAGAAACACCGATTTAAGGCAGGGGTCTTCAAACTTGGCCCTTTTATGACTTGTGGACTTCAACTCCCAGAATTCCTCAGCCACTGAGGAATTCTGGGAGTTGAAGTCTACAAGTCATAAAAGAACCAAGTTTGAAGACCCCTGATTTAAGGTATCAAACATCTTGTGCGCAACTTAAAAACTTGAAGCCGTCTTTTCTTCAAGTTGATTTTGGAGATGAGCAGAAATGCCCAGCATTTGAAGTTCCAATCAGAATCATGACTTTCAGTGGAATTATTTCTTCTGCCTCCCGTCACCCCCAGACAGTCATATTTTTTCCTGGCTTCTTCCAGCAATATCCGAGTACCTTTTGTCTTTGCTGTGCATGTACTCCTGGAACCACGTTTTGAAATCTCCCAGCTGGTGCTGAGCCAGGTTAACCACTTGCATGGCGGCCATCAAATCCCCACATCGCATGCAATAGTAAATGATTGCCCAAACTGGGTGACCTTCCACTTCCCCGTCCTAAAACAACAGAAGTAGAAAAACATCCGGACATTTGACTTCTCCTAGGTAGCCCTTGACTTAACAATTGAGCCCCAAATTTAGGTTGCTAAGAGAGACAGCTGTTAAATGAGTTGCATGCTCCATTTTACAACCTTTCTTGCCCTCAGTTGTTAAATTAGTAACATGGTTGTTAAGTGAAGCTGGCTTCCCCATTGACTTTGCTTGTCAGAAGGGATCACACGATCCTGGGAGACTGCAACCGTCGTAAATAGGAGTCAGTTGCCAAGCATCCGAATTTTGACTGTGGGACCACGGGGAGGCTGCAACGGTTGTTAAGTGTCACCAGTCCCTTTTTTTCAGTGTCGTAATTTCAAACGGACACTAAAGGAATAGTTGTAAGTTGAAGACTGCCTGTATTGTAATGAAGACTTTGAATTTAGATGATGGGAAACATATGTCTAAACTGTAAGTGGCAAATACCATCGCCTGAAGCTTTCTCTGTATAAAAATAAGTCTGGCAGACCTTAAAAAACAAAAACACACGCTTAGTGAAATTCAAACCCTTGTTTGTCTTTTGAAAAAGGTGCTTTTCTATGTGTACATATTTTTAGACATTATATCTGCATATTCATGAATGCAAATTTCATCTATCAGTAGCCTCCAAAGATGCAGGGAGCCATTTTAGCAGATTTCCGCTTACACTGATGTCTTTGTGCTTCAGACAGTTGGGGAATTCTTCAAAATGGTGCAGAAGATGATACGGTCAGAGGGGAATTGGTGAGCGCTGTTTCTCCCGTCTTTCATTTGTGGAAAGCTTAGCTACAGAATATGCCTTTATGTGAATGAAAAGGCACCACCAGAGACCATCCATTATGTTTTCTTGATGCTGTTTTCCAACAACGAACCATCGAGCCGAGAAGAATCTTAGAGGTTATATCGCAGCAATTTCTACTCAATACAGCATCTTCCCTGCAAGTGTTTACATTCTGCCAGTGAAGAAAAACTCACCACCTTGCCAAGCCATTTACAGAATCCCACCGTCAAACTGATCTCAGTTTTAGGAAAGTTTGTCCAATGCTTAATCAACATCTGGTTCCTGGCAGTTTCTGCTCATTTGTTCTAGGATTTTCTCTGAATGTACCGAGGGGAGGGGGGGGGGAGAAATCCTGGTATCTTTTCAGGATAACATTTCATTGTATATGGGACCTATCAAATGCTCATTTTTCCCCTTGTCAGGTTAAATATACCAGGCTGCTTTTCTTTATGTCTCATAGGTGTTTAAAATATGGCATTTAGACCTGGAAATGCTATTCCCCAAGCAGCTTGTGGTGATCAAGACTTAGGAACTTTTGGGGGCCTTCTGCCCATAAATAAAATTGATGGGCTGATACTTATTCATTTAATTAAACAGTTTATAGAGCTGCCCATCTTGCAATAGTCTAAGCAGCGAACAAGGATTAAAACTAAAGCACACACAATATCGATAACAACCAAAAACAACACAGTGATGCGTTAAAAAACACACGCAAGATCTAAAACCAATCCATTTCTACGTTTTCGAATGATCTTGGAGAAAGAGCTTAAGATTGTAATTAATGTTTTCAGTGGTCTTTTTAAAAGAACTTTGGCCTTTGGCAATCTTTTTTTATTATTTTTTTTATAATCACAAATGCTTAATATTTTATCAGCAACATATTGTCTGGGTTTCCAACATTTAACTTACTAATTACATGTTAAATTCCTTTCTCTCTGCCTCGTTTTTCTAGCTATTGATAAAAGGTATCCCATGTTCTAAAATATACCGAATCTTCTTTCTCTTTCATTTTCAATGTCAATCTATCCATTTCTGCACAATCTAATTTTTTTTTACCTCTGTTGGTAAATCTTCATTTTTCCAATGTTGAGTGAATACAATTCTCGCTGCAGTTAATACATGTAAAATTAGATATATACACTCTTTCTCATAGTTTCCTACAATTATGCCTAACAAAAATAATTCTGACTTAAAATCCATGTGTTTTTTTAGTAATTTTCACTAACCATATGTATATTCTTGACCAGAATCTTTTGGCTTTGGGGCATGTCCACCAAAGAGGGTAATAGGTGCCTGGTTTTTGTCTACATTTCCAACAGTTGCTAACATGTTTTTAAACATTTTTGCTAACCTCACTGGTGTTTAAATGCCATCTGTAAAACATGTTTATAAATTTTCTTTGTACGCCACCGCTTTTATTATTTTAGAATTTCCCAAAGGCTTTGCCGGTTTTCTACTTCTATGTTATGCCCAAAACTCTTTGCCCATGTTATCACTGTTTATTTAACTTGTTCCTCTTCCATCTTTAAACTTAACATATATTCATAAAGTGTCTTAAGCAATCTTGATAAAGCTGATACGACATGCACCGTTTGCGCATACTATAAACTCTGTGTCAGTGCGCTTCTCTTGGTAAGGGCTTCAGGTATGGGTGTGTCAAGTGAGGGTCTTGTGATGAGTCATCAGATAGGCTTCTGATGGGTCTTGTGGTGGGAGGTTACTCAGGTCAGGTCACCCACACCTGAAGCCTTTATAAACAGAAGAACATGGACACTGACATCCCCTCAACTCCGCTGAAGATGTTGCCTAGCTTGGTAATGAAAGGTTCGGAAACCAACCCAGAAGCTTGGAGAACGAATCTTCACACTCATCCTACACCTGAGTACGGATATTCGCCACTATTGCAAAACTATAAACTCTCCACCCCGACAACTGCCATTTCTGCCTAGCTAAATGAATGAAGTAAACCAAGGTTGCTAGGACTGTGGTGCCCCAGATGCTCCTACCTGCAGCCCCGGAACAGACACTGGGAGTTTGATGTTCAAGAAACTGCGGACTAGCTGATAGGTTCCAGGTACTCCACCCAGCTGGGCTTGGTGCAAATTTCCAAAGACCGTCATCAAGGTGTAGTTCTTGTAGCTGCAAGGAATCAACCATGGCTGGTCAGTCCGGGTGGCTGAGCACCCGTTTACTGATTTCACACAAAGAATGTTCCAAGAGGGCTCAGACATAACAACAACAACAACAACAACAACAACAACAATTCTACAAGGGTTATTTCCTTTCCTTTCCTTTCCACAGTACGGGTGGTCTTTGACTTACAACCGCGATGGGAGCCAGAATTTCCATTGCTAAGCAAGGCGGCAGTTAGGTGAGCTGTGCCCAATTCTGTGACCTTTCTGCCACCGTTGGTAAGCGAATTGCTGCAGCTGTTAAGTGAATCGTGCAGTCATTAAGCAAATTTGGCTCCCCCCCCACATTGACCGCTTGCTGGAAGACAGCTGGGAAGGTCCCAAATGGGGATCACGCGACCCCAGGATGCTGCAACTATCATGAGTACACGCTGGTTGCCAAGCGCCCAAATTTTGACCACGTGATTGTGGGAATGTTGCAGAGGGAATCAATCATTCCAAGGCCCGAATCAGAGAAGAAGTCAGAAAGGATGGCAGATCTTCAAAAAGAACGGGTATCGCGCCTCCTGCCTTGAGCTGGGGATTGGACCAAAGATCTCCAAGGTTCCTACGATTCTATGCCACGGCAGAGAAATGGCAGCTTCCTGGGAGCTCCCCCCCCCTCTATCTAAGGACTTGTACCTTTGCTCAAGATATTGTAAGGCCTGCCTTACAAACTCCATCTGCACCTCCATGCTTGTCCGTATTTTCAACGTGTCGCTTGCAGGAACCAGTAGAACATCAGTCATTTGCTTCACCATGGCCCACAAGTCAGCAATGTTCTGCAACAAGTGTGAAGATGGCGTCAGAGCTAGCAACAAAAAACCTGTCATGGATTTTGATCTACTGAAGGTCTTAATAAACCGAATGCATTTACTTTGATCTAGGGTAGGTGCTTTGCAGATCTTTCTTTATATTTAAAAAGCAAGCAGTTTTGCTTCTAATCAAAACTAAATAATCAGGATAACTTCTGGGGCTAAATTATAAATAGTACCTTATCATCCAATTCTGCCACAGTAGCACAGAGGTCTACCAAATTAGGCTGAAGATGTCCATTCACAATCTTCTCATTGTACATATAAATCTGAAACAGAGTAACATGGACAGATATCCACCATAATGCAACTAAGTCCCTCCCTTTTCATGAGACCCTCCTCACTCACACATGCACTGCTTAAATGCAAGATACCTCCATCCAGGCTTGCACTGACATCCACTTTGAATGCATAATATAAGGGCAACAGAGAAGAAGCCACTGCCTAACAGTGAACCCAGTTCAAAGTGTCAAGTGGTTGTCTGAAGCCCAACAATAAAATGCATTTTATTTTATGGGGAAAAAACCCAACAACATGGGTTTTAGGTCCTTCAAGTAAGGTTTCCCAATTGTGCCAACTTTTAAGATGCATGAACTTCAACTCCCAGGATATCTGGCTGGGGAATTCTGGGAGTTGAAGTCCACAAGTCTTAAAGTTGCAACAGTTGGGAAATGTTGCCTTAAAGTGACTGGAATTCCACTTCAATGGATGGATATGGATCCGAATCCAACAATCCAAATACTCCTAAGCGCACAAGCATATCATTTTACAATGCCTGTTCATAGCTGATAATAATCCCCAATAACCGTAACTTCAAATAAAATGAGGTTCTAGAATGCCACAGCTCAGTCTGGCCGGCTGGAATTAAGACCAGCTGAACCTTTAAAACGATTGGAGATCTGTATGATTTCCCTTTTGCAAATCTACCAAATCTTTAAGGTATCACAGATGTTTTTTGTTATAATAAGGTGGGGGGGGGTGCACGGGGAAAGCTGCAGGGAGAAAGTTAAAACAAAATCAAGATGGTGTCCCCAATCCTGCAGCCAAAGCCTTTCCCTTTACTCACGTATAGTACAATTGACGCAAATCTATAACTGGCACAGGTTTTACAGATCTGCAGTTGGAGGAAAAGGCCCAGAACTTCCTAAAACTGCTTTTGATTAAAGTGGGGTACTCACCTGTCTGGCATATGCCATCTCTGTGTTATCCAGGGAACTGCGACCTGGTGGAGGCAACTCGCTGACATAACTAGGCTGTTGGGAGAAGACAAAAAGGCTGCTCAACCCTGGGTTTCAAAAGAAGAGAATCTGTGTAGCTCAGGGTTGAATTGTGGGGTCTGTAGTGTTCTCTGAGCTTGGTGGTTTTCTTGCAGACATTTTATTACCTAACTAGTTAACCTCATCAGTGCTAGAGAGAAGGAGGAGGAGGAGGAGGAGGACGACTGGGGGGTCCTAGGTGCTCTCTGAGTCTGGTGGTTTTCTTGCAGACGTTTGACGACCCAGCTAGGGAACAGCATCAGGGCTAGAAGGGAGAAAGAGGAGGAGGAGGAAAAGAAGAGGAGGAGAAAGGGGAGGGGGAGGAAAAGAGGAGGAGGAGGACGAAGAGGAGGAGGAAGAGGAAAAGAAGAGAAAGAGGAGGAGGAGGAGGAGAAGGAGGAGGAGGAGGAGGGGGAGGAGAATGACTGGGGGGTCCTAGGTGCTCTCTGAGTCTGGTAGTGTTCTTGCAGACGTTTCATGTCCAATCTAGGTTATGTCATCAGCGTATTAGGTAACATCACTGATGTCATAACATATTTTGGACCCTGACTACCTCGCTTACTTTTTTTCTCTAATCACCTCCAAACTTTTTTTTTTAAAAAAAGCAGAATTCTACAGCCAGTAAAATTATGCATTTGTTTTACCTTACATAATTTGGTGTTCAGTATTTACACAGTGGCCAGCCAGAAATCTTGCTTCTGAAATGCTTACTCTTTTATAATTTCTAAGATTTTAATTCTCTGCTCAAACAAACCCTACATATATGTCATCACGTTTAGAAATTTGTTCCTTTTAAAAAGAAAATCTATATAATCAGATTCAAAAAAAAGTATGCAAGTTTTAAAGGAAATAGGAGAGGGAAGGTTTGTTGGTTATATTTGCTCCCTCATTTATAAAAAGGAAAGGAAAGAGAACAGAAGAGAAGGGAAGGGAAGGGAGAAGGAGAAGGGGAAAGAGGAGAAGGAGAGGAAGAGGAAAAGATGCCTTGGCTGAATATAGGTATGTTTCTGAGAATGAAAAACAAACAAACATAAGGACTCATTAGTTAGAACAAAAAACAAAATACTGAGCAAGGCAAGGCAAAATGGTGCTTTGGGGCACATAGAGGAGTTGACACAGCACCCGTTTGCAGATCCTTAAAGCACCCGCTTCTTTTTCTAAGATCACACATGTGCCCTCCACAGCTGCAGCACGATCCTGGCAAAATACATGTTTGGTTTCAAGAGCTGCAGATTGACGCTAGGGGAAAACCGACTGAAAAGAATCCCAAAATTACAGAGGACTTTCCATTCCATTGAAAAAGCACCGGGCAGCTGCCTCTAATGAGTCAACCGGGGGTCTCCAGCCAGGTGCCCCTGTGTGTTTAAGCAAGGCGCCGTGATTGTGCACTACAAACTGGATGGAACCCGGAGAGCGAAAAGCTTGCAGCACGGTAAAAAAAAAAAATCTCCTCGCCGTTTGATTTTTGCCCGGGTAACGAGAATCGCGGCGTTCGTTAAATCATCGCAGCCGAAAGCCCAATGGGTTTAGCAACGAGAATTCTTTTTGTGACAAGCTCTGTTGCCTCCTGGCGAATTGAAGGAGAATTCCGCAGCAGGAAAAGCAGCCAGCCGGATTGCAGCTGCCTTTCCCTTATTAAGCTTCCCTTGTTGCAAATGGCAAAGCGCCAAAGAAGCGTGCATTATTCATGCAGGCACCCCACAGCCACAGCCATGCCAAGGGGCAGGGCGAGCCAGGCGGGGCAAGTTTTAGGACATGAGTGGAAATGACTCTTTCGCGCAGCCTCTTTGCTTGAGCACGCTCCAGAGGGGCGGGAAGACTGGAGAGAGCCTCTTCTGGGAAGCGCAGACGAAAGCCCTTGCTCCCTACCTGCCACTGAAACAAGATCAATCACAACTGGGCTTTAAAGATAGTCAGCGGCTTATCACAGTTCACTCAGTGGCCGTTTGAAATTATGACAGCACTGAAAAAAGTGACTGATGACCGTTTTTCAGACTTGCAACCAGTGGTGGGATTCAGCCGGTTCGCACCAATTCAGCGGAAGCGGTAGCTAATTTTTTGTTGCCCAGGCCCAGATTGGACTTCTGGAAGTGGCATCCACACAGAGGATTGATTGCTCACATATCTGAACTCCAGCACTGGAAGAAGGCGTAAGAGAGATAGTAAAAGAAGGGAGGGAGGGAGGGAGGGAGGGAGGGAGGGAGGGAGGGAAGGAAGGAAGGAAGGAAGGAAGGAAGGAAGGAAGGAAGGAAGGAAGGAAGGAAGGAAGGAAGGAAGAGTGGGATGGAGGCAGTGGTGGGATTCAGCTAGTTCGCTCCACTTCGAAACCAGTAGTTAATTTTTTGTTGCCCAGGCCCAGAATGGACTTCCGGAAGCGTCATCCCCACAGAGAACTGGTGGTTCACCTATTTGAATCCCACCACTGCTTGCAACCACTGCAGCCTCCCATGGTCATGTGATCAAAATTCAAAGGCTCGGCAACTGACTCGTATTAATGACGGTCGCAGTGTCTCCAGGGAGATGGGATCACTTTTGGCAATCTTCCGACGAGCAAAGTCAATGGGGAAGTCACATCCACTTGACAACCTGGTTACTAACCGAACGAGTGAAGGGATTCAGTTAACGACCGTGGCAAGGGAGGTCATGAAATAGGGCCAAATTTACTTCACCGTCTCGCTTACCGACAGAAATTCTGGGCTTGTGGTCGTACGTTGAGGACTTATCTGTATTACAAAAAAAAAAAAAAAAAAAGCAGAAGAGGCAAAACTAGGGAGGTGATTGGAGGAAAGTGAGACAAGCAGACCCAAGAAGTGGATTCTTGATTTGTGCATTATTAAGACTATACAGTTCAGCTAAAATAAGTCTTGGATATTTTTTGCTTTTAACCAGCTGGCATGCCTTTCCATTTAGTGGGCTGTGCAAACTTCAAAGGAGGCAGGATCTGTAGGTTGCTGTCTTTGAACTGCAAAGATTGTCTTGGTAATTGACTTTATTTAAGTGTAATGTGTCGGGTATTTTTTTTTTTTTTAAAAAAAAACCCAAAAAAGTCCAAAGCTTGGAAATTGGCTTTCTTGCTGACCTGTCTCTCCAGCTGCGTTTGGATCGGTGCTTTTCAGCCGATTCTCCAAATCCGAGGTATCAATTAAAGCCCTATTATATCTGAAGGATAAGAACCTGCAGGCAGGGATTTTTTTTGTCGCAAAAAGAGTAGAAGTGCAATCTGCAACGGAGAAATTAAACAACTGGCTTTTAACACAGCAGATGCACTCCCAACCTCCTGGGCCTTTGACTCTGAAGCCGAGAACAAAACAAACCTTATCAAGGCTTCCTAATGCTTTCACAGCGACACACTAAATATCATAGCAGGCAGCAGCAGAAGAGAAGGAAAGCTATGCGTTTCAATCTTTTTAACCATTTGGGGAGTCGAATTGAGCCGGCTTCCTTGATAGATATTCCCCCACCCACCCTTCTCCTTTCTCTGAGATTCAGAAACGCCTTCCAACATGGCCAGGACCTTTGAATATGTGGTCATCAAAGACAAGCGACAAGTTGGCCAGCTGAGAAGGAAGATCAGAATTGTAAATTGAAAGGGGGAAAGTTAAACTTCCCAGAAGTAGCTGAAACCTTTCCAAAATAGCTTGGCAAATCCACTAGGCTCAACAACCGCAGAGCAGCAAGTGAGCCTACCTACTTTATTGGGGGGAAAAAACGTGGACGCTTGCTACGGCTGTACACTGCGTTGTCAGCACAACAATTTCCAAGCGAGAAAGGCTTCTAGGAACCCAAAGAAAATGTTCCAATGATTCAAAAAGACTTGAATGAAGAGGACAAAAATACGGCAACTGGCTGAGACATTCAGTTGTTACTATCTGGAAGACTCTCTGCCAATTCGCACATGCAAACAGAAAAGGAACTAAACGTTTTTCACAAAGAGCGTTTTAAATAGGAAGTGGAAGTAGGGGAAATATATAGCTTGAAATGGGATATGTATGTTGTGATTCTGGGCAAGCCAGAGGATGAATACTATTTTTTTAAAAAAATAATAATAATAAATTTCTAGGAGCAATGGATATAAAGATTTTTTTTTTAAAAACTGCAGAGGCAGAGAAGTAAGAGAGAATAAGAGATTCAGAAGCTGGGAAGCAGTTACTGGCTTCTCTGGAGCTGAGTCCTAGGCCCCACAAAAATAAAGAAAACTGCAGAATAAATCATGGAAAAAATACACTCCGTGTTAGCTGTGGCAGGATTCAGCTTTTCTCAATGTAAAGTTCTGAGTTGCTCAGAGAACGAGTAATTTAAAGTTTTATTACAGGAAGGGTAACAAAGCTTGCCAATCTTAAAACTGCTAAAAAACAAACCATCCTGAAGCCAAACAAATAGTTTGGCCAATCGTTTTAGGAATGCAGCTACTCCCCCAAAATACCTCAGTTTCCTGGGTGAAATCCAGAGTGTCTTCTCCAGAAGCCAGCAGCGTATGGAGGATCCGTTGCTTCACCTGTTCCCACTCGACCAGCATTGACTCCCGGTGATATTCCTCTGCCAAAGCAAAGGTCTGGGAAGAAATTGATAGAGAAAAAAGACAAGGCATCATCCACTTCAATGAAAGCCTGGTAGTTGGAAAGAAGCTATAAAACGCTTCTGTTGTCATCCGCCAAAAGAACTCAAAGATTCATCTGGCAACTGGGTATCCATGCAGCTTCTCATTCCATCCAGTTAAAGACTGTCCCAAAGGTAATAAATAAAATCATCATTTTTATGTACAATTGCTGTTATCAGATCCGTCCAATGTAGTTTCTTGAACGTAGCTAAATGTTGTTACACTGTCTGAAAAATTAGGCAGACTTTGACCGCCCACTGACAATCCACCACCAATTGTTAAACATGATCTTTTTTGTTTCATTTTTTTTAATGCTTCTAATTTGTAATGCTGCTCTGTGGCTGTCATAAAATTACTGCTTTGCTTTTGTTTTAAAGGCAACTGGACTTTCTGATTTATTTTTTAAAAAGGACATTTTGCTTCTTATCCAAGAAACCTCTTCAATTCTAACTAACTGGTGAAGGATGAAATGAAATTCCCCACCAGTTAGCTAGAACTGAAGATGTTTCTTGGATCAAAAATATCCTAAAGAGAAATCAAATGCCCAGTTGCTTTTAGAATAAAAGCACCTTTGGGACCAGCTGCTGGAGACTAAGGTCCCAATCCAGTTTCCCAAATGTGCTTATCTTCTCCCTAATTCAGAGTCTCGCTGCCCATCAACTCCAACGCAGCATAAAGTACATTCCCTACATCTCCATCACGCTTACAAAATTATTGCCTTGGACTCCACCCTCCGTCTCATCCTCAATTTCTCCTTAAATTAGAACTGCAGAAGAGTCTAAATGCATTTTCCCCTCAAGCTTTCATGGATTAAGATCATTTCCAGTAACTGAGGTTCTTGGGCTCCGATGCTTTCAAACCGCAGAAAGTAGAATTACGCTAAATGTGGTTGTTTTTTTTTTTAAAAAAACTCATAATTTATTCATTTTCTTAAAAATCACATTGGATTCAGTAAGTCCAAAGTGGGAGGACAATTTTGGGAGCTTAATGGGATGGAAAGAAAAAGAGAGATTGAAGAGGTTCTGCATGGTGAAAAAAATATACCACCCTCTCAAGTATGGAGAATTGAGCCCCGTTTTTAAATTCTGCCAGAAGTCTAGGCTCCTTGATTTACATCACTCATCACTCTTGAGAGACAGCAGCTCCTGAGGGACTCCGTGGTCTTTCTCATTACTGGCTGCCTAATCTTTTATGCTGAAAAAGGCAGGCTGAACCCTCGCTCATTTCATATAATGCAAGTCAACTAAATGAAACCAATATTACAGGATGCAGAAGAACAAGAGTTGGAAGAGACACTGGAGGTCTTCTAGTCCAACCCCCTGCTCAAGCAGGAAATCCCTGTCTCTTCTGGTGATTTCACCTCCCTGAAGGCCTCTTACAGATCTCCAGCAGGTTGGGAGGCTCAATTGTGGTCCAAACCATCTTAGGAGATACTGGCCCCTGCTGCAGAGGAAGAGCAGGAAGACTTTCAGCTTGCGAGATGAAGGCTTACTAGAACATGCAATTGTACAGATAGTTCTCAACATGCAACCATGCATTTAATGACCGTTCAAAGTTACAACGGCACCAAAAAAAGTGATTTATGACCATTTTTCACACTTACGACCGTTGCAGCCTCCCCGTGGTCACGTTAGGTTTTCAATTTCTTATTGTACACTACACTCATTCTCCGTGAGAGAGAGGGGTGGTTCCAAAATGAGATAGATAGATAGATAGATAGATAGATAGATAGATAGATAGATAGATAGATAGATAGATAGATAGATGGACACACGTTATTTTACATTACTTTCAATACTCACCCGTTTCCTGGACTCTTCAATGGCGGACAGCAAAGCATTATCCTTTTCATTTTTTAGGAATCCCTGTAAGGAAAAGGACAATTTCCATTAAAAACCAGTTTAGCTTGGAAAGGACGTTTGGCACTTCTCCCAGAGATGGTGTAAACTCTGCTGTAAGGTCAAACAACTTTCGGCTTTCATTGCTTCAAAGACAATGCTCTTTAATTTGAGGGGGGGGGAGGGAAAATGCCAATAAAGCGAATGTGTGCACTGAAATGTATTAGTCTCCTTTCAGTAAAGTACAAAACTAAACCCTATGAACTCTTGGCCGTTGAATCCTGATTTCATTTTCTCTTATTTCTGGATTTGGATCCGGCTTCCTTGCTCCATCAACTTACAAGAACCCTGATGAAAAGCAGGAGGGAGGCTGATGAACAGAGATAATAAGTCTGGCTAACCCCATTAAATTAATTTTTAAAAATGGAAGAGAATGGTTCACCCAAGGAACAGGCTGCTCCCTTAGATGTATGGATATTTGCAAAACATATAATATATAAAATATAACCTATAAAAATGCACAGGAGACAATACTTGCACAATAAAGTATTCTATTCTATTCTATTCTATTCTATTCTATTCTATTCTATTCTATTCTATTCTATTCTATTCTATTCTATTCTATTCCATTCCATTCCATTCCATTCCATTCCATTCATTCTAGCTCGCAAAGAGATGGACTATATTGCTGAAGCTAGAAACAATCCTAATCAAAATTTTGCCTAGCTAAATTCCCAAGATGGTTTATTTTCCTTTCCTTTCCTCTGTATTATTATTTCCTCACATTTTGGGGGAAGAATTTAATAAAAATTGAGCTCTCAAACCAATTCTATGGGATGTTCTTCTATAGGAGCCTTCCAAACTCTGTCATTCTGTATTCTGACATGCTTGTTGTTTACCTTTTTCATTTTATTTATAAGGGAAGATACCAAATAAGCAGGCAGCCCTCACCTTAGAGAATAATAAAATTGATTTTTTTAATAAATAAATAAATAAATCTTGGATTGAAAAAGCCCTATTACACAGTAGGGAACAAATACTTAAAAACAAAAGCCACTTCTGACCCAGCTGTACTGCTGTACTGAATTCAGATGCAACAAACCAAGATGCAAACTCAAGGAGAGTTGAGGCAAAGACTACAGTAGGAGGCTTACGGTCAGTTCTGAGCTAAGCTGTTTCCAGTGGCTGCCTTTGTTCCATTCCCCACGTGCGAGTCTCATTAAAGCAGACCAACCAAGGTGCCGATACAGGGAGTCCTTGACTTAACAACTACAACGGAGCCCAACCTCTCACTGCTAAGCAAGACAGTTGTTAAGTGACTTTTGCTGCATTGTACCACCTTTTATTCACCTATGAAGTGAATCACTGCAGATGTTAGCTTAGTAACAACGGTGGTTAAGTGAATTTGGCTTCCCTATTGACCTAGCTGGCCGCAAAAGGTGATCACGCGACCCTGGGACACTGCAACTATCATAAGTATATGCCAGTTGCCAAGCATCTGAATTTTGATCACGTGACCATAGGGGAGGCTGCAATGGTCATAAGTGAAAAACGATCACAGGTCACTTTTTTCAGTGTTGTTGTAACTTCGAACAGTCACTAAATGAATGGGTGTAAGTCAAGGATTACCTGTATTCTTTTCAGAAGCAGATTTAGGAGAGATGTTGACTGAAGTATTTCCTGTACAACTTCCTGGTGGGAAGCATGGCCCTTTGTGGCCACTGACAAGTCATTAACTCTCTGTTGAGCTACTCCCAGATGTGATAATGTGCCTGCAGATGTGATAATGTGCCTATCGATATGTTCCTAGGCACATAGCCAGGTTCCTGCCAGGCCAAATTTCATTCTTAATTTTTTAAAAAATGAATGGGAATCTGCCTCAGCTTAACTTGCATGGTTAACAATGCCTCTGAGGCAGGCAGGCTCCCTTTCCATCTCTGCTTTGAGGTACACTGGAATTCTTCAACAGCTTCTTAAAGAAACTATAATATGGAGAGACTCATCATAACGTAATCTCCTGGAGGATGAGCAGTTTGAGCTGGAGGGTGAGGTTAAATACATCATCAGTTTGGAATCATTATGCCGCCACAAGAGACCTAAGTCCAGTCCCCCCATGAATTCCATTGACCCTTTTCTAGCGCCAATTTAGCTTGGACTGCTAGTTGCTCAGATTTACATTAGATGCAAATAACCAGGAACAGAAGTTGAGTTCAAGGCACTAAGAATGTATTCTTACCACCTATACATACGAATCTGGGCAACTAACGGTTCAAGGTAAAATGGCGCTAGATGTGGGTCAATGGAATTCAGTGTGTGTGTGTGTGTGTGTGTGTGTGTGTGTGTGTGTGTATGGGTCTCTTGTGGCTATGCAAGGATTCCACACCGATGGCGCATTTACCCCTGCCCTCCATCTCAGCCTGATCATCTCCTGTATCTTCTCTGCAATGTGCAGCTACAGACAGCTGCTGACTGGACAGTCTATCCGTTCCTAGGAAGAAGCACAAAATGGAATATTCACTGAAGGGACAAAAATGGCCATCCGGTTCCAAAACCTGGGGGGGGGGGTAGCCTCTGGGTGTCATCCAGAAGCTTAAATGCAAGCATTCAAACACACCCTACATCCCAATGCCCGTGAATGCTGGTAATTCACAAAGATTCACTTCCCATTTATCTACTTTAAGTAGCATGCTTATATCATTTAGGGACAAGTTTCCTACATTCCTCATGACTGAAATCCTAATGTTATGGCACTCTGTAATCTGATTATTTAAATCCAGCAACTCAAGTGTTTTACAAAGCAATAGGTCACTGGAATTTGAGGGCAGCGCCCACCAAGTTCCTGTGTTCAATGGTAAATGTCTTTTTTCCTTACAGTCCTTAGCTCTCTCTTTTAACCACTTAGGATCACATTCTCCTTTTTCGTATCCCTCTTATGAATTCATCTACTACCTGCTTTAAGTCTCCTTCCATTCCGCCACTGATTTGGAGTGAAGCGTGCAGCCTAAAGATACTAATTTACTGCAGCAGCGCAAGGATTTTCTTGGCAATCCTATTCATAGCCCTTTAAAGTGTCAGAAGACAGCCAATTAACGCTCCACATGACAGAGACATTATCAGTTTCTTTGCAATGGATATAGTAAAGCAAAGGAAAGAATTCACATCTCCCAACACTTTGGAGAAGCTAAATTTAGCTTGCCACATCCACTATTAGATGGCTTTTGGGGGGGGGGTCAGAAAAATTCAAAACCACGTTAAAGCTGGGCAATTCAGATGTGGATTGTTTTCCAATCTCCACTTCCACACATGCAAAATACAAACACAGCAAGCCTCAGTATGGTTTGCTGAGAGTTCACATGTTCCAAAAGGCAGAATCCATAAAAATAGCAAAAATGATCTCATGAGGACTTTTTGCCCTTCCCGTGCATCTGATGGAAGAATACAGGTAACCCTTGACTTACAACGATTTGTTTAGTGACCCGTCTGAAGTTACAACGGCGCTGAAAAAGATGACTTACGACTGTTTTTCACTCTTACAATCCTTGCGGCATCCCCTAGGGCATGGGTTTGCAACCTTGGCAACTTTAAGACTTGTGGACTTCAGTTCCCAGCTACGCTGGCTGAGGAATTCTGGGAGCTGAAGTCCACAAGTCTTAAAGTGGTCAAGGTTGCAGACCCCCTAAAGTTGCCAAGTGCTGTTGCTATTGCTATTTGATTTGGTTTTAATAGAATACATAGCACTACACACGATTGTACTGCATTTTTAACATAAATGAATATATAAAGAACAGTTTCTCCTTTCTGGCGGGGGGAGGGGAGGGCGATGAGATGCCGGCAGAGTCAAAGGCAGGCATGTTCTGAATTTTTGACATGCTTAATAAAAAAATGTTTGCCATCACTCTAATAGGATGACCCAGAGCAAATGAACAGGACCGTGGTGGAGCGGAGAAGGGCCCCGTGGGTTTCTTTTTACAAAAGACAGGTGTCTATCCAGAAAGCAAAGCCTTTAAAACACCCCGGTCAACAACACGCAGACACACCAGTCACCAGACTGCAATTTTCCCATTATAGCAAGATTTATGCCTTTTTTTTTTAGAGCAATTGCTGCAATTATCTTTCAATCGGCATGGATACGTGATTTCTCCAAACAAACACTTCCCTTTGTTTTCCTTGCTGTTGATGCATTTCCTCTTTAGAGGTATCCACGGTGTTTAGAAAAAAGGCAAAGCCATCCAAACTAACTGGGTTTAAATTTTAGATCACAGGGTGAGTATGATCATCTCTGCTTCGCTTCCAAGGGGCTTTTAAGTCCTGAGCAGAGCGCATCTCTCTGGAAAATTAGCAGCATTCTTCTTTCTGTGCGTATCTGAATGCTAATTCAACCATATGCAGCCAGCTAGTGTAGTAAGAGCTGCTTCCCCTGGTTACATTTTTCATCTAATTATGCTTGTACTCTGTAAGATGCATGCAAACAAAATGAGAGCCATATAAGGTATTTGTTCCTTATACATTGGTCTGCTTGGCTGCCAAATCTTGAGGAAAAACAAAAACAAAAGATTGCCAAGAGATTGAAATGTTTTGTTGGATGGACATCCTGAAAGGTCATTCTCAAAAGGTCAGCGAGATCTGATGTGGGGGGAAGCAGCCTCTTTGGAAAAGAAATGCCCAATTTTAACTTGACAATGCTTCTCTTTCGGGTTTATTAAAATGCAGATGAGTTGCTTGCCTTCTTTAATAACATCTGAAAATGTTCTGAAGAGGCCATGGACAATCACTCAGACAATAAAGGGACCCTCAGTTACAATTAGACAGTAAATATGCTTTTGTACCCAATTTTTGAAAGGAAAAAAATGGGTCAGATACTAATTGTCTACTGATATGCACTGTCGAGTCATATCTGTTGAATAAGTGAAATAATTCCTAGGAAAAGCTTTTAAACCAAGATTCTATACTGTAAAGAGAAATGTGAAGTCAAATTGGGCTCCAAATTTGATTAGGATCCTTATCTATCTATCTATCTATCTATCTAT